TTTATGCATAGTGCTTTGCCATCTTTTAGAACCCTCTCTTCTTTCAGAGTGACCACTTACTCCCACCATTGTTATACTTCACTTACTTCCCATCCAGTACCCCACTCTACCCCCAGAAGGGAGGCTTCCCACTGAAAACTAGTTTTCATGTTCTTCATTTATGTTGACTCTGGGCATTTGTTATTCCTCTCCATGTTTCTTTATATCCACATTTGAGAGAGATCATCCTCTGTCTGTCCCTCTCCCTCTTACTAAATTCACTCTGCGTGACTCTCTCCAGGTCCATCCATAGAGCAGCAAATTGCATGATTTCATCTTTTCTTACAGTCACATAGTATTCTATTGTGTATATATACCATGGTTTCTTTACCCAGTCAAAACATTTCAATGTAGTTATTATTTTGTGTGTGTGTGTGTGTGTGTGTGTGTGCGCGCGCGCGCACGCGCGCGCCACACTTAATGGTGCTTAGGAACCATGCAGTGCTGGGAATCGAACCAGAAGCTCCTGCACGCAAAGCCTGTGCTCCAGATCTTTGAGGCATCTCCCTAGCCCACCACTTCTTATTTTAAAGAGAATATTTTCTAAAGAAGTGTTGGTGAGAAGAATGGTATCATAGCTTTTTTTAAAATCTTCTTGATGTCAGGCTTAATAGAAAACACTTTGAGTCTCCCATCAGCTTCTACTTGATATATTATAGCATTAACTGTTCTGTACCTTCTGCAAAACCCCACTGAATGTAAGTGAGAAAAGGAGCACGAGAAAGGCAGATATCGTGGTGATATCATTGTAAAAAATAGTTTTCTGCCTCTCAGAGAGCCTGAAAGGCTCCCGGGACCTGCAGGGTTCAGACCACTGTGTGAGACTTCAGCTCCAGAAGTTAGCATGTGGGAGACAAGTAACGGGTGTGGAATACAATTATGATGTATTCTTGTGTTTTAGTGAAACTTTTTATAAGGAGCATATATTACTTTTGCTATTTTAAGACCAAGAAAAAGACAATGAAAGGGTATAAGAAGGAAGATGACTATATCCTTAAAAGACAGTAATAACTTTGAAGGTTTTTTATAGGTTATTGTTACTGACAGGTGAATGGATTCAGAGATATGGCACAGCAGGTAAGGCGTTTGCCTTGCATGCAGCCAACATGGCCGACCCGAGTTCTATTCCTCTACCCCTCTCGGAGAGCCCAGCAAGCTACCGACAGTATCTCTCCCACACGGCAAAGCCTGGCAAGCTACCTGTGACATATTCAATATGCCAAACACAGTAACAACAGGTCTCACAATGAACACATTACTGGGCCCGCTCGGAGAACTTGGTGAACAATGGGAGGACAGTGACAGTGTTAGTGACAGGTATAGAACCCACAACTTCATACAATGAGTGTATGAAAGCATACACATATTACTGAGCTACATTCCTGGCCCTAAAATTTTTGTTTCATCAACAATAAAATCCTTATTTGAAGGTTGGAGAGATAGTACCATAGGTAGGGTGTTTGCCTTGCACGCTATCAGCCTTGGTTCGATCTTGGCACCACATATGGCCCCTGGTGCCCAGCCAGGAGTGATTCCTGAGTGCAGAGCCTGGAGTAAACCCTGAGAAAATCTGGGAGTGGAAAAAGCACAGCCCTGGCTCATTCTTAAGTTATGCCTGAACATCATAGCTAGGAATATGATATTCCTATATAAAGTTAGGAATATAAGGTTAGGAATTCTTGTTAATCTGTGCCCAACTTTATAGTTCCTCCAAAACCTCTGTTGTTATATCTCTAAGACTTCCAAATTGGACAAATTAGAATGATTCATGAATCGTGCCCATTTTTTGTGTCCATTTGGCCAATGTGAGTTTGATTCCTCCACCCCTCTCGGAGAGCCCGGCAAGCTACCAAGAGTATCTCGCCCGCACAGCAAAGCCTGGCAAGCTACCCGCGAGTATTTGATATGTCAAACACAAGTAACAACAAGTCTCACAATGCGGATGTTACTGGGCCTGCTCGAGCAAATCGATGAACAGCGGGAGGACAGTGCTAATAAATAACTGAAAATGTGTATTTAGGTAGGCTTTAAATATGTGTGACCCAATGTCAGAGAGATGGTACAGGGGTTGAGGTGCTTGCCAAGGTGCATGCAGCCAGTCACAGCTTGGTCACCTGAGCACCAACAGGAGTAATTCCTGAACAGGGAGCCAGGAAAAATCTCTCAGCACACTTTGCATGGCCCCAAAACTAGAGAAAACAATCTATGCAGACCCCTTGTTTCCAAGGCATTAGGAATCAATAAAGGAATAAAAGTTTAAAAAGGAATTAAAATAGTTTGCCTCTGGTTAATGTATAATTTTCTTTATGAAAAAGAAGTTATTAATCTAATAGTCTATAAGTAAGGTATCAAATATAGAGACTATAATAAGTAAATAGCAACTTGGTCTGTGGAATCAATGAAATAGTATAACTAGAATAAAAAATTGAAATTTTCTTTTCAGCCTATATCTGAATGTTGATTCTGTTGAGTTATTTCTTTGATGACTTTCAAATTTCCTTAGAGAAAGTGATTCCCTCCACAAATATCTAAGTAAATCTATTTATTGTACTAGAAAATTAGAAAATGCTAAGAATAGAATTAAATCACCTATAATAACTCCCACTTTTATAGTTACAAGTTAACATTCTGTTGGGTTTTCTTGGTTTGTTTTGGCAGCCACCCCTGGAGGTACGTCAGGGACTGTGCAGTGCTGGGGATCAAACCTGAGACGACTCCATGCAAAGCCTGGGCACTAACAATTCAAGTTATTTCCCCGGCCCAACATTTTGGAATATACTTTAATTTTATGTACAGCATCATTGTATGCTACAGACTTTTTAGTTGCCTGGTTTTATAAATGGAATATCCTGAGTATTTTTTGCATATGAATGTACATGTTTATATTAGTTTGGATCACGTAAGGTTGTTTTCTCTTAAGTCTATAGAACTTCAGATACTTCTGTTTGTTTTGGTATTGGGCTTTGGGCCACACCCGCTGTGCGCAAGGCTTACTCCTGTCACTGCGCTCAGTATTGGATGCCAGGGATTGAACCTGGGTGGGCCACCCAGGTACATTGCCCCTGCAAGCCCCTTTCAGATACTTTTTTTTTTTAATTTTTGAGTCACACCCAGCGATGCTCAGGGGTTATTCCTGGCTCTGCACTCAAAAATTACTCCTGGCACTGCTTGGGGGACCATATGGGATGCCGGGGATCGAACCCAGGTTGGCCACGAGCAAGGCAAACGCCCTACCCGCTATCACTCCAGCCCTATCAGATACTTTTTATAAAAAAGTACTTTTTATACTTTTTATACTATAATAAATACATATTTCAATATTAAATTTGATTATTTCCTCTGGGTAAAGACTTAGCTGGAGGGTTGCTGGGACAGTGAGTCTTTCCCAGAGGTATTTTTGTCTATTTATTTATATTTTGGGATCACACCCAGTGGTGCTCAGGTCTGTGCTCAGGCTCTGTGCTCTGAGATCACTCTGGCATCACTTGGAGGATCAACAGTATGTAGTTCTGGGGATTGAACCAGAGTTGCCACCACAAGCACGTGATAGGCAAGCACCTTTTCTTTGTGTCTCTGGCTCATCCCAAAGATCTTTTGCCTTTTTTTTCCTTTTTTTTGGGGGGGAAGAGGAGTTCACACCTGGTAATGCACAGGGGTTACTCTTGGCTCTGTACTCAGGAATTACTCCTGGCAGTGCTCAGTGGACCAAATAGGATGCTGGGAATTGAACCCAGGTCAGCCGTGTGCAAGGCAAACACCCTACCCACTATGCTATCGTTCCAGCCCATCATCCCAAAGGTCTTGAGTGTAATTGTAGATTCTCTCTTTAGAATGATTGTATCTGATTAAGACTCCCTTTCCCCACACCCTGGTCTATTCTTTAATATGACAAGTACAAACAAAAATTTTTTTTTGCTGTTTTATTTTTATTTATTACTGAATCACTGTGAGATACAGTTACAAAGCTTTCATAATGGAGTTTCAGTCATATAATGATCAAACACCCATCCTTTCACCAGTGCACATTTTCTACCACCAATGCCACCAATGTCCCCAGTATCCCTTCCACTATCTCTACCCTACCTCATCCCTGCCTCTAAGGCAGGAACTTTCCTTTTAACTTTCTCTTTACTTTTGGACATTTTGGTTTGCAGTATAGTTACTGAGAGGCCATCGTTTTTGGTCCTTAGTCTACTTTCAGCACTTCATTTCTACTTCCAACCATCATTGAGTTAGCGGTCCTTTCTCTGTCCCAACTGCCTTCTCCTCCAGCACATGAGGCAGGCTTCCAACCATGGAGCAGTCCTCTTGACCCTTGTCTCTACTGTCCTTGGGTGTTAGTCGCATACTATACAAATTTAATGTCTTCAAACTCTTCTGAGATTGAGACTGAACATCTCTCCAATATTTGTGAGTTGCCTGCTTTTCTTCCAGAATGTCGTCTTTCTAACGGTTGGTACATTTACTGCTTTTGTAATAGAACTCTACCATTGATTGCACCTTTGTACCATTGATTGCACCATCGATCTACCTTTGAATGATTTTCTTCTTTGGAGAACTTTGATATGAACTAAACAGAATTAAGTCTGTTGGCCTTTGGATATAGACTTTTTTTCCCTGCTATTAAAAAGCCGAAAATTTTTCCTTAGGGCTCCTGGTCTAAGTGGTAGATGTGTTGTTCTCCTGAAGTTGAAAACCATTCTGACTTACCCTGTGCCTTTTCAAATTTGTGTCCTCACGTTTTTCATCTAAGACTGAAGCCAACTCTGTGCCCGATCCTAGCAGGGCCAGCCAAGCCCTCCTCTGCCTTTCCCACAGATGTGCCTGCCTTTGGTTTCTCCAGGAACATGCTGCCCCTCCCATTGTTTGCTCCTTTCTCTGTGGCCTGTGTGCACTTATCCTCTTGCCTGTGCCAAGAGAAGTGGATTATCTGACTCTGAGTATGTTTCATTGACTTTCAGGGGACCCACATCCTGGAGAGAACAGCCTCCTCCAGCACGGAGCCCTCTGTGAGTCGGCAGTTGCTAGAGCCTGAGCCGGGTCCTCCGTCCAAGGTCAGTGATGGGATGGGGGTGGAGCAGTGGTGCCTTAGGTTGCATTGAGCCTTTTGGGGGGAAGCTTCATCTCTGACACTTTGGAACAGCTGTGCCCCCCCTAAAAGGACTGCATTTGTGCTTTTTCCAGCTCCAGTATATTAGGTTTCCTGCCCTGTGTCAGGAAGAATGGTAGACTTTTTTTGGAGAAAATATTCAAAGTTCCGGAATTTTCTTTAAGTGGGTGAAGGCAAGAGAAGCTGTTGTCATAGGAAGAATCACAAATCAACAAATCACAAATCATCCTGTTATTCGTCAATTGCCTCAAGCAGGCCCCAGTAACGTCTCCTTCATCCTAGCCCTGAGATTATATTCAAGGCTCTTTAGGAGAATGAGACCCATCATTGTTACTGGTATTTGGCATATTGGGTACGCCAAGAGGAGTTTGCCAGACTCTGCCCTGTGGGCAGGCTACATTTGGTAACCTGCCAGTTTGTCCAAAGTAGGAATGAGATAATAAGATGTCATAATAAGATGTCATAGGAAGAAAAGAGCAAATATTTCTATCTCATGCAAAAATAAAAATAAATCACTACAGACCAGAGCAGTAGTACAGCAGATAGAATGCTTGCCTTGCATGTGACTGATGCAGCTTTGATCCCCTGTACCTGTATGGTCCCCTGCACCCCATCTAGTCCTCCATGCACCACCAGGAATTATCTCTGAGTTCAGAGCCAAGGTCAAGCCCTGAGAACCACTGGGTGTGGCCTGAAAAGCCAAAAATAAAACAAAGCAAAAATAAATAGCTGCATCCAGCAATAATTAAAAAGCGAAAAAACAAACAACAACAAAAAAACCACCAGCAACCATGGATGCCCATGCAGAGCGCACCAGGCATGATGATGGCAGCTTCAGTACGTGAGCCCATTTCCTGCAGTCCTGATGAACAGCTCATGCATCATAGATAGTTCTTACACATTTTAAATGATTGGAAATCAGGACTTACCCAAAGTGAAAAGAGAGAGAGATGAAGCAAGGGGAGGAGGGGGAGAGGGCCACTAAGAGGCAGCACAGGGAATCAAACTTAGACATATTTAGCTCTGCCCTGAGGGTCAGACCGTACCTTACCCACTTGCCCCGGCATCTGCCTTCCTAGAAGAGAACTCTAGCAGAACACTGCAGGTTACTGATTAAGAGAGGAAAGGTCTTAATAGCTAAGGGGGAAGGGAAGGTGGTGGAGGGATTTGGATACTGTGGTGGTGAGCAGAGCTTGTAACATTATACCCCTAAAATACAAACATTTACCTGAATAAAATTTAAACCCCCAAACCAAACCAAACCTTTTCAGTTTCAAGGGAGTCTCTGTTTCTTCGCCTCCACAATTTATTCCCTGGACTAGCAAAACATCTAAATCTACTGATATTGAATGGCAAAACTCTTAAAAAATAGTCAAGGAGATTCTATTCTAATAGCTCAGGTTGATTTCAGCTAGCTGGATCCATGGCACCCCTGCCAAGCAACTTGGAAAATAGAATGCCTGGGGGACTTGGAATTCACATAAGAAAATTGCTGCTTCAGTTCCAAAGCAAGTTAATTTGTAAGTAGCTGCGACTAAACCATCTTTTCCTGTGTTCAATAGAACCCTCTAAGAAAGAGACACTGTACTCTTTATAACCAGTGTGGTGGTAAAAATCTGCTTGGACCTCTTTTTATTTTGAAGGTATTATAAACTCTATTGTTTATTTCTCAAACAGGAGGAGACTGTTAAATGCAGGAAGGGGGGCAGTTACAGAACTATAAAAATAATTTGGAGAGAATGGAAATGATTTGGTTTCTATTTGAGTAGCAAATAGAGAATGCCTGCTTGGTAAATACAACTGGCAATCTCTTTGAAAGTATCAGTTCTCTCTTCCAGGTAGCCAGTGGAAAGAAAATTAACAAATATAGGACTGGAAAAGAAACTGGAAAAAACTGGAAAAAACTCACCCTTATTGAGTCTCATGCATTGTGTACCAGGAATAGCACTGGTACAAACCTTCTCTCTCTTAGCCCTCAACTCGATGACATGGGCACAAATGTCGTTCTTTTCACTCCTGTCAAGGAGAACAAGGCTTAGAATATAAGTCAGCATGTCCGGACGCAGCAGGGAAGTGTGTGATAGCTAGAGAGTGCTAGTCTGAGATGCACAGAGAAAGGAAGATTTGGATATCTCAGAGAATGAGACGCAAGTGGGAAAGGAGAAGTGTTGGTGTTCAAACCACAATTGGGCCAGGATATGGCCCAGTGCTTATGAGTACCTTGCATGTGAGATTCTAAGCTGGATCCCCAGCACCACACACAAAATGCAAATAAGGGACAACACATGCCCAAGACGGGCTGCCTCCTCCTCTCCTGCTGGCTGGCTTTCTGCGAGAGCTCCAGCATCATCTCACTTAAGTCTGTAGTGCCTCTGTGTACACAGTCCCCTTCCCTGGCCGGCTCTTCTGTCCCCTGCTGCTGTGTCCACTTCTCTATCTGGTGCCTGCTCAGCCTCTCCCTTCCTTTCCTTCAGGTGGCTGAGCTCTCTGATCTTGGAAAGTCGACCCAGGCATCCCCTTCCTGATGCTTGAGTATTATCTCCCTCCACAGCCCGCCCTCAGCCCTGGGTTGTCTTGTACAGCCTGTCTCTTCCCTGACTGGGATTGTTGCTTTATGCTACACTCTTTCTTTTTGTCCCTAGACACATTCTTCTCTAGAGGGACAACGTGAGTACAGGCTTAGGGTGCTTATGATTATCAAGGGAGAGCCCTGGGGAGTGAAGCAGTGTGTGGGTAGAGATACTGTAGGTGTACGTTTGGCTGGAGCCCCCTTGACTCTGATCCCTGTGAGTTCTGGAGCATGAGTTGTGATGCAGAGTTGGTCTCACACATGGAGGCACAGAGGACATTTTGTCCCAAATCTGTATGCCTGTCAGTCATTGGGAGCCCCCTAGGAGGGAGATGCTGCAGCATCATTGCCCCCGTAAAGCCCCTGGTTGGCCACACCACAGTTCCCCATCGAAGGAGGGAATGGTTAGCCCTGGCAGCAGCCTGCCTCCTGCTGGCCGGGATCTCTAGGTCCATGCCTCCATTCACCTTACTCCTCTCAGCTGGAGCCTGCCTTGATTTTGCTGCAGGACTAATCGATTTCTGGTGGTGTCTGTGTATTCCTGCTGACTACATCTTGTGGGGCTCTGACGCCCCATTTGGATACCAAAGCATCTCACCAGCTGGTGGGCTTCTTGGCCTGGCTTGGCACTGGAAATGCTTGATGTGGCATCCACCTGGTACTGCCTCCGGATTTCTTTGTGAAGTTGTTTCACCTGCAGTGGTGTTTACCCCTCCTAGAAACAGGGCACATAGAGTTCACCCTGGAGAAAGGAAGCACTTCAGATAAACAGACCAAGGCTGTTTCTCGGTGACACACAGGTTTTAGGCATTGTTATGAGATTAAGAGCATTTTTTTAAATTTCTCTGATTGCCAAAACCTTTGTGTCCTGACTCAAGTCAAGGACTAATGTTTGGATCACATCATTGGCTTTTGATTCTAATTCTGTCCTAAGCAAACCTATGGAAGTTCAAGACTTAAAATTAGTATCAATAGAAATGACGAAAGATATCTTTAATTTTTAGGAAGTAATCTAACTTCCGTAAGAACAGCTTTGATCCTTAAGCATAACAGTGAATTGTATTATATAATGAGATGGACTATTTCATTTCTCACACACCTTATTTATAAAACTATTATCAACATTTATAATTGAAATAGGGAGAATGCTCTTTGCTCTGGCTTTATCCTTTGCCTCTTTGTCAGTTTGACAGCTTATAAAAACAATATTAGGATTTAAAAAAAAAAACCCGGATGGGTTTATTGATACTACATCAGAGGGAATATATTTGTTACCACATTTATGTTTTTAAAAATTACTCTTTTAATTATTTCTGCTAACAGTTTTGTCCACCACTGCAATTAAACTCTGAAATAAGGCAAGAAAAAACCCCACTTGGTAGATACAAGTAGTCACAGTTTTACAGGAAAAGACTGTCATCACATTCAAAGCTTAGTTAGGAAAAAAAACATTTAAAGCATTTGTATGTTTCAATTTCACAAGCAGTTCAAGGTATTTTATCATAAATAATCTAAATAGATATATACACATACACAGAGGATAAATCAAAGACAATACTATCTTTCAAAACAGATGTGGCCAAAATTAAAAATATTGCTATTCTAGTGGTGCTAACCAGGGATGTAGCTACCAGAAATAGACATGCCAGTAAATACAGTTGATAGCTCCCTGAGAAAAAAAGATCTTGATTGAATATATTTACACATATCTGGGGGGGGGGGGGTTGCTCTTAATTTCTTGGTTAAGCAGAACTTTATAAATAAATAAAATCTACATAGAAAAATTCCTTCTCTGTCTTTCTGTCTCTGTCTCTGTCTCTCTCACGCCAGGGATGGAACCTGGGCTTCACACAGGTGAGGCACGAGCTTTACCCTGAGCCACATCCCGGCACAGAAATCTATCATTTTTATGGAAATTTTAAATCTCTTTTTCTGGTAAGAACAGAATACCAAAGATACTGGACTCTTTATAAGATGACTCTTTTTCTTCTATTACACTACTGTGACTCATAAGCTGTGTTCACTTGCTGAATTGCAATTCGTTGTTGAAAAGCCAGAGCACTCTGCTTTGGACTCTGAGTGCCCACGCTGCCTGCACTTGGATTATCCAAAGACCCTGGTATGCAGCCTGATGTGATCCCATCAACCCAATTTTAAAACAAAAATCACTATGGACTGGAGAGATAGTGTAGGGGTGATGCACTTCCCTTGCATGCTGCTGACCCTGGATTTATTCCCCAGCACCACATATGTTCCCTGAGCACCTGCAGCAGTGATCCCTGAGCAGAGTCAGGAGTAAGCCCTGAGCACAGCTAGGTGTGTTCCCCAGCCCTCAATTATATATATATATATATACATATATATATATATACACACATATATATATTTATTAACTGTTTTTATCAGATCAGTCTCTGTCTGACAGTATTTGTCTTCAGGGAGAAAATCATTTCTCCATTGGTTTTCTTACGTCAGGAGAAATTCACAGATCCTTTAGTGTTTCTCAACTTTTTTTCCTGACCATGGCACCCTTTTCACCTTGTTTCCTGCCTGTGGCTCCAGACTTACCAGTTTCCCCCCGCATCTTGTTCCCTGCCCCCCCACTTTTGCTATTTTTATTCCCACGCCCCCCTCCCTCGCCCCAGACTATCCTGAGGACCCCTCAGGATGCCATATGCACCCTGTTGTGACACACTAACTAGACAGTGTTTGCCAGGTCACAAGTTATGTGGGAGCTGTGTGTGTGGGATTATCTGATGCACGGAGCACCCAGAATGTGGCCACAGGCTTGGCAGCTACCACAGAAGCAGGCACAAAGGGCCAGTGATAGACAATCCTGTTCCCTCAGTATTTTCTGATCTTGAAATCTTGCAGAAAACTCTGGAATTTGAAGTTCCCAAAGTTTGACCTACTGTCTCTTTCCTGGGAAATAAATATTATTCTGCACACCTCTAGAAGTCTGTCTTCTTTAAATCAAGTAGCAGATGATGCCCTCCAATTGCACTTACAGCTACTACTACTCCTCTGGATTGTCCCAGTGCCTCCGGGGAGAGGCTGATTTGCCCACTGTAGGAAACGCTGCTCTAGAAGTTTAGGGTAAGCCTCAAAGTCTGAGGCTTTCTAATTTTGAGTGGTAGGAAAGGGCATATAGTAGGGTCATACCCAGTGGTGCTCGAGGGTCACTTCTGGAAGTTGGAATGGGGGTCGGCCACCTGCAAGGCAAGTGCCTTAACCCTTGTTCTCTATCTCTGGCTTTCTTTCTGATTTTTAATATCAGCCACTCATGAAAATTGAATGCAATTGATAGACATAGTGTGTCTCACACACATGTGGGAACCAGGACTGAGTTTATTTTCAACAGAGTTCTGAGAAGGTGCAGTTTTCTAAAGACCAAATTTGTTTTATTTTGGGAAGGCGGGAGACACATCCGGCCATACTCAGGACTTATTCATGGATCTATGCTCAGGGGTCACTCCTGGTGGGCTCAGGGGACCATATGGGATGCCAGGGACCAAACCTGGGTCAGCCGCATGCAAGGCAAGTGCCCTACCTGCTGTACTATCTCTCTGGTCCCCAGAATGTCAGATTTCTGGTTTTGTTCTGTGCTGCTCTCTCCACCAACTCTGGGCTGAACATATGTTTCAGAATGTGCAACTTTAAAGCTTTCCATTATGGGTGTGCATGTGGTGAGCAGAGCATGGGGTGCCATGTCTGCCCTGGAATGCTCACAGCCTTGTCGGGAGGAAGCAGAGCCTACAGCACGGCTCACAGGGTTCAGTGGGGGCGAGCCACTTAGCCCTCCACAGCCTTCTCTGTCTCCCAAGCGGGACATATGCTCTTCATCTGATGTGCACCCTCCTGTCTTATTTTAAAATTTTAAAGTGCTTGCACAGTGATGAACCATCTGAGGGGAAAGTGCATTTAATCCTTCTGAATACCAGCCAATAGAATTCCAGTCCATCCCAAATTCCAGCTCTCAGGAGCCCTCATTCCCCTCTCCCCCCCACCCCCACATACACACACACACACACACACACACACACACACACACACACACATCCCCTCAGGTCTGGCTGCGAATTCATTTTCAGTTCAATTCTAACTGCATAGCTGGGGCTTCCAGTTAGAATTTGCTCCGGAATGTTGTTCATACATCTGGTGGATCAAGTGTTGTTTCAAAAGCAACTTCTACTCAAGAATCTGCTTTAAGTGTGTGATCGAGCATTGAGAAATATGTGATTTGTTTTTCTTCATTTTTTTTTTTTTGTCTAGGAAGCTGACAGCTGGGAAATTATAGAAGGGCTGAAGATAGGCCAAACCAATGTCCAGAGACCAGATAAGCATGAAGGCTTTATGCTGAAAAAAAGAAAATGGCCTTTAAAAGGCTGGCACAAGGTAATGGTTCGGGGAGTTGTGCTCAGGGAATCACACCCTGCTGGAGATCAAACCCATGCAAAACTTGTGCACCAGCCCTTTCTATCATCTGCCCAGTACCAAGTAATATGAATATGTTGTGATGAATCTTCTTTGAAATAAGAGGTGTTTTCAGATATATGTATATGTTCTGTTAGCTGTGTTTATGTTTATTATCCATCCCACGATTACTAAATACTTAGGATTTGTCTAACGTTTTACTGTTGTGATGAAGGTACTTACACATTTCTGTTGAATTCCTTGGGATAAATTAGTCAAATTGTTACCAGAGCAAACAAAAGATGTTAAATCACTCATTTTGACTGTGTGTTTTCTGCCCTTTAAGTTTCATCGTGTATTCCTCACTCCCCTCTCCCACATACCTTTTCTTTCTTCTAGTTTAAATAATGGGAATAGTACTTTGTTTTTGTGTTGTTACAGTTTTCAGGGTGAAAAGTATTCTAGCGATGCTAAAGAGGATAGAGTTGTCTTCCATTTTTAGTATAAGCCCCACACCGACCTCCCCTCTGAAATCACTGAAAAACAGATTCATCTGGTGGCCACATCTGCTGATGGATTTCTTCCATGGCCAATGGATTTGTTACCCAAGTGACCCAGTGCTAGTTGTCTTTTGATTCAAAGTAGAGGTTATGCATAACATCCTTAAGGAAAATTCTTTTCCACTTGAAGGGAAGGATTTAAAAATTAACAGCTGGGATGATTGCCCTGATCCCATGTCTCTGAGGGTGGAAAAAGAAGAGATAAAAGAGGCTTCTGATCAGTAATCCTGCTAACTTGTAGGAAACCTTTCCAGTCCCTCTTGAATGCATAATATTATTCCAATTCTAGGAATCGCTCCTTACTGGTTCTTCTTTGGATTTTGGCCAATGATTCAGAGTTCCTATTTAAAGTCACAGCTTGCCTTTTATTATGATCATACCTCTTTTCAATTCCTAAAATCAGCGGCCTTGCTAACTCCTTCCCATGCCTGTCGATATATCAGTGTTTCTTAGTTTTCCAACTATGGCCCTCTTTCACCTTGTTTCCTTTCGGTGCCCCTGGTCCCTTTCCCAATGGCTCACTTGTAGTCTCATGCTGTGCCCATCTATTTTCACCTGTGATCCCCTTGGAATATCCTGGGCCTGACGGGGAGCCACCTGGCCCCCAGGTGAGAATGCTTCTATAGGCTATACCCTTTAAATTTCTTTAATAAGTATAAAAATAAAACTAGAGAAAAAGAGAGAAAGAAGCACTTTTCTATGAGTTGCTAGCCCTGGTGCTTCTGGTTGATGTTTTAGCAAAACAGGCTGAAACTCTTTCTGGACCATTTTGTATTTCCTTCTCTCCTGGTCTCTAAGACCTCAAGGTGTTTACTCAGGCATCTGCCTGCTTGACTGCCCAGGCCATAGACAGTTTACTGAAGTGTTTTATAACCATAGAGACTTTTTTTTTTCAGTGCTTGCTCCTTGCCCACTTTGAACCTGTAACAAAGGGGTCACTGTGCCTTTCTTTGAGTTTCATGCAGTGTCCCCAAATTTGACTCCCTGCCAGTGTAGCAGCATAGTTCTTGATTCACATATAAAATTTCACAGCAGTGTAATTTTTCATCAGTAGGACAGTCCCTTGTATGTGTGTAGACTAGAGGAGAGCCTTGGGCCCATTGTTTGATGGGCTCCAGTTTTCTCTTGTGAATTGCTCATGGAAAGGAAATCAACATTAAATAGTCCCTCAGTGTTTTTGTAGCAAAAACAACTAAATTCACATAAATTCTATCAGAATCATCTTAGAGGAGACAAAAATTGTCCCAAATGGTCAGAGAGACAGTACACCCGTTAAGGCACTTACTTTGCACTTGGCTAACACAGGCTCAACCTCCAGCATCCCATATGGTTCCCTCAAGTAGGGCCAAAAGTGACCCCTGAGTACCACCCCAGGAGTAAGTCCTGCGCACCACTGGGTATGGACCAAAACCAAATAACAACAACAAAACATTGCTCCAAAACTCTCTCTCCTTGTAAATGTTTACCCTTAATGTAGTTCAGAAACGATTGCCAAACCCTTTAACTAGTTGTGCTTTCTAAAGTGGAGATGCAAACATATTACAAAGGCCACTCTTAAATTTCCCAGGTATTTCATTATTCATTGATTTAGTTCACTGACTTCTGCTACAGACATGAACATTTTCAATAATTAGCCTGGCTTTCCATGGAAAAGCAGTTTACCTGCAGAGTGAAAAATTCCCTGTAGACAAGCTTTACGCAGAATCCCGGTGATCTAACCCAGCTCGTTCTCATTTCTCCCTTCTTAAAACAACCCACTTGGTTCATTCAGAAAGTCTTCTTTGCAAGTCCTCAGTTTCTCTCTTTTACCCACATCCCCTCACGAAGAAAAGCCATAGTGAAAACACCCCCATCCCCATTGTATTATGTGTAAAAGAATCCTAGCAAATTAATAGCAAAACTCATGCTCTGAGTTCTGAACCATTTAATGGACTAACTGTGCCAGGTGACTGGTTACAAACACATGGAAACAATCCTTATGGTGTTGTTTACTAAATTCCAAGCAACTTAGATCCACACTTATAAATGTTTTATATAATTCAAAATACAGACAGTAACTGGAGGTTGTTTGGTTCTTGCAGCGTTTTTTTGTCCTGGATAATGGAATGTTAAAGTATTCAAAGGCACCACTCGATGTAAGTAGCACACAGGACGTGTTTCTAAGATTGATTTAGAATTCTGCTTGAAGTGAGTAAACACCAGTAATACACGCCTTGTGCCATAGTTTCCAGCTTTGTGCTTTTCTGTGCCTGTAATATTTAACAAACTAACAGACCTCCATGTTCTGTGGACGTTTCTGCTGATGTTCGGCTAACATAAAAATCTCAAACTAGGGCATTGAGATTTAATTAAACTATTGTGTTGTATGTTGTTAAAAACAAAATTTTTAAACCTAAAAGTGACAATAAAGTCACCTCTTCTATCTCAAAGAAAATACAAAAATGCTTCTCCCACTCCTCTGTCCCCACAACTCTATGAACTGGGCTTGTTGAGATTAAAAGAAATCTTTGCTTATGTCAGTGTCCTTTTATAAACTGTGTTATGAACTTCATTTTTTATCTGTGTTTGATCTTGGGAATTCCAAATGACTGAGATGATTATGGATTATTCTGTTGTAAAAAGTAGTTATTTTCAAGTAAACCGTGGACTTCCCTCTTTATCAGAATGGTGTCATAGAAATACCAGAAGGCTCAGATTTCAGTTTTGTCTTTGTTTCTTCCATTGAACCAGTTGTGGGCCCTTGAGGAGAAAGGAGTGGCCAGAAGGAAAATCAACCAGCTCGGACTCTGATGCCAGACACCCAGTTCTGCCCTCAAAGCTGGCATCTAGCTGATAACTCAGGCATGATCCGAGTTATAGGTCAGAGACTGACCCTCCTTATTTTAGGAACCACTGAAGAGTTTGCTGGGGGAATAGACTGTACTACCTAGAATTATGAAGAATCAGCATCGTATGTACAGTGGAAACAGAAATAAAGAAGAGTAGTCTTTTTTTATTAAAGTTGATGGGGAGTCTCTGCAACCTCAGCTGTCCTGAAATCAAGAACCTTAACCTCAGAGCTGTAACCATTTCCTCTCATAAAGGAAGTGTGGTATTCCATTTGCCATAAATAAGTTAAAAATGACATTAAGCTCACATCAGTACAGAAATTCACTGAATCATCTGTTGTTTCAGTCTATTAACTAATCTCTTGATTTCAGATTCAGAAAGGAAAGGTTCATGGGAGCATTGATGTGGGACTCTCAGTTATGTCAATTAAAAAGAAAGCTCGACGAATAGATCTCGACACAGAAGAACACATCTACCACTTGAAGGTGCAGTTATTGTTCAGCAAATTTTCTGCTGCTGATAGGCAGTGTTGAGCAGGAAAATGGCTTCATCATTGCTTTCTCCTCTTGTTTGTTCTTTTAGGTGAAATCCCAGGATTGGTTTGATGGATGGGTCTCTAAACTGCGCCATCACCGATTGTATCGACAAAATGAAATTGTGAGATCACCACGAGATGCTAGCTTTCACATATTTCCTTCAACTTCCACAGCTGAGTCTTCACCAGCTGCCAATGTGTCCATTGTGGATGGAAAGGTATGACTTCATGACATAAAAAAAACAGCCTAGACGGTCTTTGGAAAATTAGTCAGATGCATAACTGAGTATCATTGACAGTAATAAGCCCTGACCACAGCCGGATGTGGCCCAAAATTCAAAATAATAATAATAATAATGAATAAAATCAATGTTACAAACCACAGGCATGTAGATAGCTGTGTCTACCTTCATTCACTAATTAATTTTTCTAAGCAGTGGCCACATTGTACTGCACAACAATGCTACAGCTTCTCACTCAGCCTCCAGTGATAATAAACATGTAGATATTTGTGAAGAATTGGCTTCTAATGGATTTGGGTTTGGGAATATTTTGGTGAAGAATCTGCTTCTCTCTCTCTCTCCCTCTCAGATATAAAGAAATACTTATATGAAAATATCATTTACAAAATATTAAAAATATAACCCTCAGGAAGTTGGGGGCCAGAGCCATTGTACAGTCAGTGGGCATATGCCTTGTATGTGGCCAACCTAGATTTGATCCCTGGCACCTGGTATGGTCCCCAGAGTACCACCAAGAGTAATTCCAGAACCCAAAGCCAGGAGTAAACGTGAGCATCACCGGATGTGGCCCCAAAACTAAACCAAATAAACAAACAAAAAAAAACCCAAACAAAAAACAACAACCAAAAACTTCAGGGAATAAATACAAGACTCATCTTACAAGATTCATCTGACCAGGTCCAATGAATGCTGAAAGAGAGAAAAAATTGAATTTTTGCTCTTTTTTTTTTATAAAAATTACTTGTGATATTTTGTTAAATTCTGTATTATGAATTTCACAAACCTCTAATTCTTATATTTTTGTCATTCTGATGGTAGCCTTTCCAAGAACTGTTTTATCATTGCTTTGCTAGGAACAGGGCGCTAGGTCATACTTATACTAGCCAGTGGTGAAATGAGAGTAACAAACGAAGAGGTGAGGGAATTAGGGAACAGGGTGCTTGCAGAGTAACCCCACTCTAGCTGCTTAACTAATACCTAAGTTCTCTGAGCCTCCTCTGTTATCACCCCAAAATAGAATGAATTGCAGAGGTAGTCCTTAAAATTAAACAAGAAATGTGTTCCAGAGGGATGTTTTTGAAAAGTAAATATTTAATGCTTTGATTCGTCCAGGTTCTGTCTGTATCTTTGCTCTGGAATGTCGATAAAATGTGTGTTGTTTTCATCCCTTGTATTATTTATTAAATATTTTGGGTGGTATCTGAGAATGGAAAACTTAAACCAGATTTTCTATTACTGAGTCTAAAGTAAGAAAGCTCTTCATTCCAGTCTTCATAAAAGACCTATTGCTGTAGTTACAAATGATGTATAACTCTAAGATTCATCTCAGTAAAATATCTGCACCGCATTTATCAAAATTCAATCTAGTGAAAAGAGCTTTTATCACTTAGCTTACATTTTGAGTATCAAATTATGAGACTCTTGAACGATCATAGATTTGTGGAACGGTGTGGGAAATAAATAAATCTGGATTTGCTAAGTGTGTGCATCATTCCATTCACATTGATTTAGAAGAAATGCAGTCAGTTGTAATTGAATATAAAGTCAAAGATGAGACTTTTAAAGTTGTTTTTTAGCTTTGGCAGAAGTAAGTTTGTACTTTTAAATCTTTACAGCACTCACCTGGGTACTTCATAACTATTTTCCATTAAATCCTTTTAATCAAATGTGCATGGATAATAACAATTTGTAAGTCTTCTTTTTTATCTATTGTAATCTTTGATAGTCATTCAAATTATTACCAGATTGCTTGCTTCTGGATACTATATTTAGTAATCTCAAGCAATTGGTGAGATCTTGAGCTAATCCTAAAAGGTTAGGGAGCTTGGAAAGGAATGGCACTTAGTTAGGAGTTACATACTGCAATCAGGGCAAGAATTAAATGCAACATATTGGGTACTTTTTAAATATTGAGTTTGTGAGCCGATAGCTCTGTGAGAGTAAGAAGCACAAGACCCTTGAGTCAGCTTTGGAGAGAGCAGCTTACTGACTGTTACTGTCTAAGAATTTGGTCTTTGCTGAGCACCTGCCACTTAGCTAAGTGGCTTCTTCCATATTTTGAGTGTATCCTCCACTTCCTGTTTAAGAATATGATTTCTCTTACATGCGTATTGGTTTGTATATTCATGATGGTGCTTGAGAGTGACTCTAGAGCCTTACACATGCCTGGCACGCACATTACTACCTTCCCACATCCATCCCAACCTCGCTTCTTCATTTGTTGCTGTCACTTTGAGGCTTGTCCAGACCTTGAGCTTTAGTGATCCTTCTCAGCACTGATGTATTCCTCACCTGCTCTATCCCTCACAGGTGCAGCCAAACAGCTTCCCGTGGCAGTCCCCCCTGCCGAGCAGCAGCAGCCTGCCCGCCTCCTGCACCACTGGCCCCAGCAAGGTGGCAGCCTGGCTGCAGGACTCGGAGGAGATGGACAGGTGTGCCGAAGGTCAGTCCTTGCCCGGCGCAGCTCTCGAAGTAAGAAAGAAAAAAGAGAAAAACATAAGGGGAACATCCAGTTGCAGGAGCGCCCCTTCCACCTCCCCCTCCTGACTTTGACTGCCTTTTTGCATTTTCTCCGAGACGAGATGGGTACTGGGATGAGTACAAGGGCGTTGACTCTCCAGAGAAAATGGGGAGGTGGAAGGGCACTGGATGCTGTCCAGAGGAGAGAAATGGGTGTGAATCTGCTGCTCTGCATACAAGAGAGAGCCAGGGGGGATGCCTAGAGATTTCAAGGCCCCTCTCGCTTCTCTGCTCATATGATTTTATATCCACCACAAAATCTACCTCAAATGTCAAAGTTCTCCATATTTATCTTTGATACTTCACCCAGCTCATTAGACATATTTAACAAGGATGTCTAGCTTCAACAACCAAAGTCTTATGTGGTGATGGGAAGCCAGGGTCACTCCTGGCAGTATTCACCCCACGTGGATCAGTAGATCAGTGCTTCCGCCCAGGGTGCCTGGTTGCTCTCTGGTGTTGGATTATGGAATCACCCTGGCAGTACTCACCAGGGGGCGCCAGGGCTTACCAGCGCATCCTACATGTTTAATTATTGAGACTGGAACACTAATAACTTGATATTCTTGACTGTATTTAATTTCACACACTAAAGGTCGATTTAAAAAGTAATGATTTATTATGCAAATCTTAACATTTTCTCACCTGTTCAAAAATCCTAGAAATGTCAAAAAGATTTAGAGTCTCTTTTTCATTCTAAACACTAATTTAGCTGGACTTGGGAACCCATGCTTTGATCTTGGGTTGCTTTGGTATAATGACTCTTAAACATTTTAAAGAAACATTGATTGCAAAAATTTTAGGGAGCTAAGTTATATTAGGTGGTTTTATATTTCATTTTGTCTTTCTGAGCTTTCTCTCGATTCTGCCCAGATTCTTTTTTTTAATGGTTTGGGGACCTTATTCAGTGGTGCTCAGGAATCACTCCTGGATGTGTTCCTGGGATGCTGAGGATTAAACCCAAGTTAGCCACTTGTAAGCCAAGAGCTTTATCCTCTGTACTATATCTCCAGCCTCTCTGTCCAAATTCTTTATTTATTTATTTTTGCTTTTTTGGGTCACACCCAGTGATGCACAGGGTTACTCCTGGCTCTGCACTCAGAAATTACTCCTGGAAGTGCTTGGAGAACCATATGAGATGTTGGGAATCAAACCCAGGTTGGCTGCGTGCAAGGCAAACACTCTACCCGCCGTGCTATTGCTCTAGCCTCCCCAAATTCTTGATAGTTTCCTTGTAAACTGTTTTAGAAACACATGGTCAGATTCTCAAAGTGCCTGTAATTCCTGGGACTGAGGATGTGGCTCAGTGGAAGAGCACTGGGATTGCGTGATTGTGAACTTTTGGGTTTGATTTCCAGCACTATTAGAAATTGTCCCTGAGCACAGCCAATATGACCCAAAATAAAAAAAAAAACAAAAAAAAACAAAAAACAAACAGAATGGTCATAGTTAGGTCCAGAGAGATTATATAGAGGTTAAACCTTGCATATGGCCAAGGCCAGTTTAATCCCTGTTCTCCTGAGCACAGAACCCTGAACACTGTTAATGCCAGGAGTGGCCCCAAACCTCCCAACCCCTACCCCAAACAAAACATGCAATTTTTCAAGTTCCCTTGGGTATGCTTCCTTTGTGCCATGGGCCACAGGAGCAGGAAGCTGAGCCCACACAGTGTGAGATTTTCACAGCTTTCTATGCCAATAGCTGCTAATTTATAAGAGTAGGCTTTGAGACTGCCAACAAATAATGAGTGATTTCTTGGCTCCAAAAGAGAAAAGGGTCTATTTGCTGCCTGTGCCTAAGCTGTCCTTATATAAACAAGGAACTGTCTAATCCAGTTTGCCCTGATTTGGATAAATTTCCTTTTATTATTATCACCTCTGATCCCTGGCCAATTTTGATATATTTTTATTTCTGATTTTTATTAGATCTTGCACACTGTCAGTCTAATCTTGTGGAACTTAGCAAACTCCTGCAAAATTTGGAAATACTTCAGCGAACTCAGTCAGCTCCTAACTTTACTGATATGCAGGTAAACATTTTTCTGCTGATGTTAAAATATCCTTCCAGATATTAAGTCAGCTTTTGGTATGGTACTGTGAATATCAAGAAAAGTGTGTATTTTATGAATACCAGGAAAAGGGTATAAGGAAAAGATCTGCAATACAGATTAATTTATATTCTGGAGTTTTTCTGAACATCTTTGAATCATGTTGTCATTGTGTTAATTAAAATGTCTATTTTGAAAGGTTTTTACATTTAAATGCAAAGTTATTTAGAATAAGCAAATATCTTAGTCACTCTCATGTTTGTCTAACATTAGAAATGATAGCTTAAAATGTAACTTACATTCTCTTAAAATTATTACTGTCATTTTACAAATTAAAAATGCTGAAGACCTCTACTGTTGTTCGTTTTGTGGAGCAGACAAACACATATTCTAAAGAAATTTCATCTCTGCCTTTAGTGCCCACTATACATCAACTATGCCTTTCTCTCCTGGCTGGTTGCCGGGGCATCTGAGAATGATCTTTACTAACAGACTAGGCTTTCTTTGTCAATCCCTCTATCATCTGTGTGAACTTAATAATACTTTGTTGCTTTTAACCATTTGTGCAATGTAGGCTAACTGTGTAGATATTTCAAAGAAAGACAAGCGAGTCACAAGAAGATGGAGAACAAAAAGTGTCAGCAAAGATACAAAAATACAACTGCAGGTACAGATTTTATTTTCCCTTCATTCCTATTTTTATGTAACTAAAAATATTTGTCTTTATGGATCAGATCACAGAAGTGAGATTGAGAGCAATTTTACTGCTTTAATTTATTCTTTGTTAAATGTGACATAAGTAAAAATAATACTGACAGAAAGTTAAAAAATTTTAATATGTCTAAAAAGTGGCATTCTCCTTAGTTATTGCCTTTGAACTGTTACAGTATATTTTAACACAAAGTCACTTTCAAAAGTGAGGTTGTTGGAATATTGTATGACTGAAGTCCAATCATGAACAGCTTTGTAACTGTGAATTGCGCAATGATTCAATAAAAAAATAAATAAAAAATGAAAAGAATAAAAATTGAGGCTAAGGGGCCAGAGCAATAGTACAGTGAGTAAGGTGCGTGCCTTGCATGAGGCTGACCTGGCTAGGTCCTCGCCATCCCATAAATGGCCCCCCACCGCCAGGAGTATTTTGTGAGTGTAGAGCCGGGAGTCACCTCGTATTGTCACTGGATGTGGCCCAAACCAACCTCACCCCACCCCCAAAAAAGAAAAGGTAAAAATTGAGACTAAAATCTCCTGAACTATACTGAGCTTTTGTATAAACTGGATTGGATTGGGTGGGGAGAAGGCACTGGATGCACAGATGAGTGTTTGGGCCTAACCAGGCTGTGCTTAGCACCCCACTGTATTATCTCTCTGGTCCCTATAAATAAGTTCTATTAAGAGCCTTTATGTGTTAACCTTGCCCAAATTTGTGTCAGAAAAAGGGCTCTGCTGCATATATTGGAAATCAGAGAAGGACGTGAGTTCCATTATCACATTATCATCACTGTGATTAATCTTGTGCACATCTCTTAAAATTTCTGGACTTCCATTTGCTACTGAGTAAACAATTGGGAGTCAAAATGATCTCTGAATTCCCTGTAATTCTAAAATTCAGTGATTCTACAAAATTTGATAGTATTTCATCATCAACAATCACTTTAGAAATCCAGATCATTAAAGTCTTAATGCATAGTCAAAAGTTTACTTGATTTTTCTGAAATTAGTAGTTTTAAATATAAATATGCAATTTAAAATAAAATAAATGCCTAAAACTTCTTAGGTCATAAATTATATTACTTTCAATATCTACTTCTCTGATCCTAGTTATTTGTTATATAAAAAAACTCTTGCCCTGCATAATCAAAAGTAGATTCATAATTTTGCTTTTTTTTAACTACACTATGAATCAGCTATAATACAAAGATAAAAGAAACTGCTCTTCAGAATTCTTCAATCTTTCCTGAATAATTAACAGTCCTTCTTTAATTCTGATCAAATTGATAAACTCTGTTATAATTCTGAATGTGTAAATAACAAACTGTGTTGCTTTGCTTACTAATCTAATGCACTGGAAAATATATTTTCCTAAGCTCTAAATATCCATGTTTTGTTGTGTTTATTTTTTTTTTAATTTAAAATGTCTGCATTTGTTGAACACAGTTTTTTTGTGTTCCTTTGTTTGGTATGTCTTTGTGTTTTCCCTACTATTCAGAAAAATTAATACTACAGAGACAACTGTACCAGATTATTTCACAAGAAAATTACCTAAAAGTGCTTTTGGCCATTTCATGTGTCTTGTGCATGTGATTGTCTGGTTGTGTGAGGTTGGTTTGTTTGTTTTAAACATGGTATCCATGGTTATCAGAGTCAAGGGATAAAATAAGCCATATAAATAATTGAAGAAGTCCAGCATCAGAGGACCATAACACTTTGTGGGTAGGTATAGCTTCACCCCTGGTTTTATAAGGTATGACAGTGGACAGATTTCCATTCACAGCTTCTATAGTTGCTTCTAAGAGAGCTGAGCACCATGCCCTGACAACCTGCTGCCACCTAGGCCCACCCCCATCCCTTATCACATGGGATTTTTCTGAAGGAAATAGTGTAGCTCTGAATGGCCCACCTAGTCACAGGCTGTGCTTTTCAAGGAGGAGAGTTTTGTGAATGTCTTTTGAGCCATCAGGGGCAATTGTCATAAGACCAGAAAATATTCTTCATTCAGACTTCTGCCACATTTGTTGATGTTGGTCTTCAGCATTTTCTTATTTAGGTTTTGTTTTTGTGTTTTCATAGTAACAGAATGGCTCTGGTGAATCTCATTGGGATAATTTTGAGATGAATTGAAATAATCTCAAGAGGAAACTTTGTGCTTTCAAAAGTAGGAAATAAAGTTCCAACGCCAAGGGGAAATAAATTACTTTGGGAGATGGCATTTGGAAGTTCATCAAAGTGAGAGAAGCATAAAATTTAAAAAGAAAAACAAAACAAAAAAACTCAGAGAAGCCCACTTCCACTTGGACTGATAAAATGAGGCATATAACTGGATGAACACTGCAGAATGTGATCTGTGACCCAAATCAATAGGCCTTTAAGAGGGTCTTAAGTTACTCATTATCTTACCTGAAAGCTTCTTCAGCATGCGCCCTTAGCTGGAAAACCATTAAGTCAACCAAGTGGCTGAACCATAAAGTTAGCCAAGTATAACTTATACTGTGGCCAATATAAATTTACTCAGTGTTTTACGTACACAAATCCATAGAATTTATTTTTATGTAGTAGGTTGGTTAAACATACTTTCAACCTTCTCCTACCTTAATTTACAGATTTTTGCACACACGCACACATGCGAACACCTGCCCATGCGCACACTCACCCATGCGCGCCATTTGAAATATTTTATGGCAATGAGAATCTCAGCATCCCAGTTTGTGCTATCTAGCAATTGTTTTAATATCATAATCATCTCAGTACTTGAATAACTTTCTCTAATAGTCATTGTAATGAACAACTTGAGATGCGTTTAGAATGAATACCTCATTTTTCATCCCTTTTGCTTTACCTCGACCAATTGATATATTAGTGTAGTTTCACTACAGCATTGTGCAGTTGTTGTTATTTTTGAATAATTACAAAATGAAACATTTAAAAATTAAAAATTATTCAGGAAAATAAACATTGAAGGTGTTACACTGGGTGTTTGACTACTTATTCTTGCATTACACTATTGATTTGACTCTGAGATTAAATGTTGTACCTCTTGGCCATATTTCTACTAGAAGCCATTGGGAAGTAAGCCTCAGGAATCCATTGTGAAATTTATTATACCTAGAGGGTTCTGAGAAGATAACCTTTTAGCAGAACTATCTGTCTCTGAAACTTCCAATTTCTGCTTCTAATAAAACTCTCGATTTCATTGTTATGCAGTAATACTTTGACTTTTTTGATAACAGAGAGGAGGACAAGAAGCAAATGATATTAAAAGAATTGCTTTGGAAAGAGAGCTGCTAACTTCCTGTGTTACTAATAGCATGAATTTAATCTTGACTCTTTAGATATTGAAAAGAATGTGGAATTGTAGGCAGTCTGGAGTAGCAGATTAAATGTTAGGAAATCACTTGTGTAGATAACCTAGTCTCACGGGTGCCTAGATTGCAGTGATATTGGGCTAGGATGTGACTCAGTTGGTAGAGAACATGCCTACCATGTGCTAGGCACTGGGGTCAGTCCCTGGTACTGCATTCCCCCACATGAATGCAGTTAAAGTTGAAAAGGTTATGAAAAGGTTAAAGTTTAGTTTTCCTTCATTTATGACATTAAGCACAAAGAGATTTTGCATAGAAAATTTTTGTGGAAAAAGATATGTGTGTGTGTGTGTGTGTAAAGCATGCATGTATGTATAGAGATTTACTTATGTATTTATATTGCCAGGGGGATCAAACCCAGGGTCACATCTTCAGCCTGTGGGTATATTTTTGAAGTCAGCAGAGAAATTGAATGTAATTTGGAAACTTTAAAGAGCCATGGAAATTTTAGAATTAAATTTAAAAAATTTTGTTGTTACAAATAGATTTAAAAACCAAGGTTAGATGTTAGGTGATTCTAAGTATGTCTTAGTTAATAGGAACTGGAATTATCTCTCAAAGACTTGAAGAACCAGCGACTACCCACTGGAGACAGAGTTGAGTTGTTGGAAGGAAATATTATTATCCATTAATCCTTAATCCAGGATACATAAACAAGAGCTCTGAGATCCTGCTGTTAGTTTATGGAAGTTTATGGAGAAGTACAAGTCACTAGTGCTTTCATTTTTCATTTTTCAGAACTGGTTTTCTAGGTATTGCCCTATCACAAAGGAAATGGAGGTTCTCCAGAGTGTTGTTGTTGTTGTTGTTGTTATAATTGTTTTTGTTGTTTTTATGTTGTGTTCTTGCAAAATTCTTCAGAGTCTTCACCGTTCTTCATAATGGTTTGTGGGAAGAAATTAATGAGTGGGAGACTCCTGGTATCCATCCCTTTACTTTTCTTCTCTGATAGAAACCAAAACCTGGCCGTCCTGAGATGCCCCCAACTGTTCCCATTCCATTCACTTCTGCTATTGTTTCACTCAGTCCCTCTTTCCTGAAGTCACTTTCCCCCTTCACTTTCGTTTGTTGAGTGTCTTTTGGCTTAATATACCATGACTTTGAGTAATTAAAAGTGTGCACATGCATTTCACCTTGTACACAGAGCTAGTCATAAGTTCCAATTTGCCACCTTCTTTTGGGGGTCTCAGGAGGGATGCTGTTTAGCAAACAGACTTAAGTGCTACGGGTTCTGTGATAAGATGGGCGTGACCTTTTCCCAGCATGTGAGCAAATGACCCTTGAAGATCTTTTCAATCCTAGCATTCCGGAAGTCAACTTGAGTTAAAAACTCTCCCTCTCCCCTGTCTGATTCTCTTCCCCACCCCCCAATAATTTCCTGTCTCTCCCTTCCTTCCCCTCCCATGTTTTCTCCACCCCCCTCTTCCTCCATTCCCTGTCAGGAAGGGCCACCTGTGAAGGGCCAGTTCAGCACCACCAGGCGCCGACAGAGGCTTGCGGCAGCAGTAGCTACAACAGTGAGTGGCTTCCAGTCCCGCGTGGGTGTTTCCGAAGAATGAGAAACAGCATATGAGTGTCATCTACCTATGCTAAGAGGGGGTCACCTGAGACCCACTGCTGTGTTGTCATTGCCTTGAAGGGTCTCTGGCTGTCTGCATGAAAGGTCTGCATGTGGGCATGCGTATTTGTCCAGGGAAAACCTTGACCCAATCCAGTACTCAGATTTTTAATGGCATTTTAAGACTGTTTCAGCTCAAGGTTGCCAAGTGCCCGGTGGGCAGGGATTTTTATAAACGATTTTTATTTATTTTATTACAAACAATTTTTATTTTATTTTATTACAAACCATTATAAAATAAATGATTTTTATTTTTTGCCATGCTGATATTGGGACCTTTGCTAATAAATCATCTATACTTTCTAATAAAACTTATGTCTGTGGTAACAGACACAAGTTGTGCTTTTTTTTGGTGGCTATTGGGAAAGGATGTGAGAATAAAGACATGGAAGGGCAAGAAAAGGCAGATTTTAATGTCATCTGTAAACAGCTATCCAAATTAATGTGGCAAGGGAAAATTGTCTTCTGGAGAGAATATTAGCTGAAAATTGGAAAATATGGTAGGGAAAGGAGAAAAAACACAGTTAAAGGCTTTTGTTCTCCGGATTGGTTTTTGTTTTGCTTTTTTTTTTTTTTGAATAAAGAAAATGGCATGGAGATTAGCAGGCTAGAGGAAATATTGAGTCAGATAAGACAAATAGTGCAAATTTTAAATTAAGTAGAAGTTTATAATAATTAACCATCTGTGTGGGATATAAAAGAGATTATATAAACACAGAACTTGTTAGATAAAAGTGAATTGTTTTATTTGCTTATGCATGAGTTTGTTTTTTTTTTACAGAATCAGTAGTAAATTTAGAGAAATCATGGATGTTAAGGTTTTGTTATTAGGTAATATATCCTGAAAAACAGTAGTCTTGCTAAGGCAGAATATATTTTAAGTCTGTAATTAATGAGTAATATGACTTTGGATGCATGCTAGGAGACTGGTACTAGTGGTTTTCTATTTTATGTTAATAAATGACTCTTGACAAACACATCATTATTCTTAGCTAAATTATTTGAGAAATAGAATTGCTTTTGATTATAAGATGAACTGTTGACTTGGAGTTTTATTAAGGAACTGCATCTTAAATCTCACAGTTTTGTGAAATTTGAACAAATTATTGAAATCTATTTCATGGTTTATTTTTATCTATGTGTATGCCTGAATACCCATTATATATATATATATATATATATACACATGTATATATGTATATATATGTGTGCAGGTGGATAAAGTTCTTGATGGGGATACAATTAATAGACTCAAGCAGTAGACATAAGTATCACCAGTTAAATAATTCTTGAATGTAATTTTTTATTGACAGAATTTAGAAATAGAAATGATTAGTAGTGTGAGAACAATATCTTAGTATGGAAATCAAAGGTCAATCATAAAAATATTGATATTTTCTTAAATAATGTACTTCTAAGATGACATACAGAGAAGTAATTTTGTTCATTTTTAATTGTATACATGTGTCATTACTAATAAGAGTGAAATTTTGAATAGATTTGAATAGAATAGTTTACACATAAAATATTGGCTTTTTTAACTTGGGGGTCATACCTTGCTTTACTTAGAGGCTTCTCTTGGCTCTGTGCCCAGTGGTTGCTCCCATTGTTGCTCAGGAAACCATGCTGTACTAGGATTTGAACCTAGGCCTCCTACATGCAGAGAAGGCCCTCAAGTCTTTGAGCCCTCTCTCTCTCTCTCTCTCTCTCTCTCTCTCTCTCTCTCTCTCTCTCTCAGGCCCTGGATTTATATCTATTTTTAATTGTAAGTAGAAGAAATAAAAAGAGAAAAATAATTGCTGTCCACCTCCCAGAGTAGTCATTAAGAATATCTAAATGCATCTAAGGAGAAAAGCCGACAACATTTAATAATGTGTCCTGGGATAACTGAGAATGGTTACTGAATCCTCCAAGATGTATAGCTTTAACTCCCTATCAGAGCATAGCAGCTTCTAATAGGATCTCAGTCACCTCCTTGCATCCCTCCCCCACCCTCCACCTCATGTCTCAGTGACCTAATGCTGGTACCTCTCAGCCTTTCATTTCCTCTAGCAAGTTGTTTATCTTAATTCCCATTCCCAGTCCTCCCACTTCCCAGCATGAGTAGCTCATGCATTTTGAGCCTCTATATCCTGCCAGCTACTTTTTAGCTTGAATTCTTCCAACTGACTCTCTCTCAAGAAGAGAATCAGTCTCTCTCCTTGACACTCAGGTGTCTGGAGCAGCTTAAGGTTGCTTGCCAAAGAAAAGTGCATTCAAGGAGAAAGTCAGAGATTCATTCTTGATGCCTCTAAATCCTGGCACCTGGAAAACTAGTCCTTAACCTCCTCTGGACCCACTAGGACAGGGAGACAGTCAGAGAAGCTCTGTTTCCTTCCCAGGGAAGCACAGAGTCCCATACATCCAGCGTCCCAGCAAGGCTCCCAGACAGGAAACTGGAAACTTCAGAGGAGTAACAGCAGATTTTCCCTGCAGACTCCAGAACTCCTAGAAACTAGTGATTTACCTTAAAAAAAGAAAGAACTGCCGTGACTTTCTCATGTTTCCCATTGTAAAATGTGTCTGTATTTTCATTTCCAGTTCATGTTTCTTGACTTCTTCACAGACCTGTGTTGAGGACATCTCCTAACATCCCCGCTCCCAACTGCAGTCATTAGTATTGAATGTTCTAAGGTCAAGCTGCCTCATGCCCCACCCCTGTGTCCATCACAGACTTTCATAAAGCTTGGAGTTTGTTTCCTGAGCAGGGTGTCAAGATCACACACAGCGCTAGTTCCCAGCGACAAACACAGAGATATGTAGACAGCTCCCATTCCAGCATCACTGACAGAGCCCACTGCAGGGAAGGGATTGGATCCCATAGTATCCCAGATAACGACTGCAAAACTGAGTAAATGAATACCCAAGCCGAAGATAGCTTAGCTTTGGTTAGAAGTGGATGAATACATCTGGATTTGTATTCTCAATTTCCTGTCACCATTAATCTAGTCTATATATTTCTCTTAACGTAGAAGATAGCCATAGAAACATTTCCAGTCAGATGAGTAGGGAGTTTCGTGTTCAATTCCCGGGGACCTTTGTGACTGCCTTTTGAGTGGAGTTCCAGTTCCTTTCCCTGTGGGTCCTATGTGCATTCACTTTCACTTTTATAATTGCCAGCTTGAATTTTCATCATTCAAAATATAACTTAGTATTATGTTTTCTTTCTCAGCACCTTATTCTGACTTTCAGCTTTTGCTGTTGCCTTGAGTTTGGGTGACCCCCAGCTGTGCTCAGGGATCACTCCTGACAGGACTTGGGGAACCATATGCTGGGTATAGAACCCAGGTTGGCTGTGTGCAAGGCAAATGCCTGGCCCTCCATATTATATCTCTGGCCCCTTCTGTTTTTTGTTTTGTTTTTAAGAAAAACAAGTTCCTTCCAGAAATAAAGGGAGGGAAAAAGATACATGCTCACGAGAGAATACGGTAGAAAAAGTCCAGAGTGGAAAGAACAAGACACCTTCCAGGCAGGAATATGAAGGCCATTTCCCCAAAATAGAGAAATGTACCCTAGATAAAAAGGCCACATCTCTGGGAGGGATTTAGGCAAATACACCCAAGGTGAATAAAGTAAGTACAGATCTGTGAGGAGTTATGGGTAATTGTGCTTTTTTCCGCATTTTGATAGGGATGCAGTTAGCTCAGAAACAAGGCTGAACCCTTACCACTCACTCAAGACCCCTAATCCTTCCCATCCCCCCAATCCCAGCTTGTGAAGTCCCTCTCCCATGACATGCCATTCCCTGAAGTGCTAAGTGTGAAGTAGGACAGATCAAGCCCATTCTCTAACCCATACACACTACATGCCTCACCTTCAGACACCCACAATTAAAAAAAATAATAATTATTTGTTTGGGATTGTATATTTCTGTGGGGTTCCTCTCACAGTGATGCTCAAGGAACTTTCAGAAATTCTTGATTGGTGCTGAGAGATCCAGTGCAAGGGCCCAAGGACATCATTCTGCTCGGGCCCTGTGATGCTTGGGGTGCCCCCAGGGCCACATTCGGTGGTGACCAGCGCCATGTAGTGTGGAAGTCGAACCCCTCTACTATCTCCCCAAACATTATTTTTTAAATTTCTCTTCTAGTTCCTAATATTGGGAAATTACACACTTAAATGTGAAAATACCCATTCTTAACTCATCCTGTCCCTCATCACCTTCTAAAATTCCACCCACCTTTCTCAGTGGCCTTCCTGCAAGGTAACCATCTCTTCATTCTAGATTTAGCATCACCATAGTGAACATCAGAAAGTTCCTTTCCTTATCTTCAGGTTGTCTTCCATGTAAATCCCATTCATCCACTGGCAACCCCAAAGGACCTCAGTCACTGTTAACACAAGTTACCAGGAAGCGATTTCAGTGAATTTTTTATTCTAAGGACTCCATTTTCTCATAAGCAAGATTTCCTGAGGTTGTTTACCTTGCATGTGTGAGACCCTGGGTTTCATTTCTGGCACTGACAAAATAATAACAAAATAGCTTATCTTGTACTTCTCTGTCTCTTCTTTGGAGCAGTCAAATATTCTGAGCCTGATGAGATCAGCAAGTTCTTGACATCCCCTAGTCCAGTGTGGCCAACGTCCCCATGAATGATAAAACACAACTCCAAATACTAAAAGCTTTGAATATCCTATTTTAATGTGTTTGGCTGTTTTAGGGGGAAAGTTCTCTGTTTTTGTCTTCCCCAGCAATCCCTGGTTAGCTTTTGAGATTTAAAATAATTTTCCTCTGACAGGGAAAAGCTACATCTGAAGGACCCTCTATCCATTCTCAACTGCCCTCACCACAGGCTACAGCTCAGGTCAGATGTTTTTTTACTCTGTCCATTCCTTCATCACTCTTTTTAATGCCCTTGGTGCGTGCTCTTTTGTTTTTTTCCTCTTCTCCCCCCTTATATTTGCTGTTGGAAGTGTAAAACAAAATGAAGGAAGGAAATGGTTCAGACACACATATACCTCAGACAAGATATTGCTTCCTTCCTCCTGCAGCCTATTTTCCTGTGAGTGTGAAGTATTCTTTATACAAAATTTAACTTGTGGAGGCATCTAAGAGTCTGATTCCTGAAGATAATTGAATGAAAATCTGGCAGTCAGAGTTAGGGGAGGTGACTGGTGATCTGGTTGGTTAGAGGAATTGGTATTCTTCCTCCCCAAGAAAGTTTGACAGCATTTGTGATGGCCAAATAGAACCTTGTACAAGGAAAGGAAGGGTGATTTTCCTCCACGCATCCCAAAGCCTCATTCAGCTCCTTGCCAGGCAGGAAAGGTACCTCTGATTGTTTGGAAAAAATCTATAGTAATGTGACAATTTTTACTTAATATTCTATAATATTGGCTGGTTTATAAGCCTTATTTGTATTTGTAACAAAGTTACATGTAAACTATCGAAAGTTACAGACTACATATTTCATCTTAAAACCTTTGAAATAAATAAATTTTAAACTTAACTGACTTTCTTCAAACCTGTGAACTAATGGTGGTGGAGTCTCCATGCCCCATGAATTCTGGCCCACTTAGTAAACTCTAGCTCCAAATTCAGAAAGAGAGCATTAAAGCCCTCTGACAAGAATCTTCCAAGAATTTGTAAGCAAAGATCAGTGACGTTAGAGTATAGACTGCTGTTTTCTGCCAGTAGTTCTTTAGCACTACAGTGGGGTCAGTAGTGCTTACTACATAATTAATCTGGAATTATGCCTTTTCTTCCTGCCATTCTCTAGCTGTCACTCTCAATAACAGACAAAGCCAGTAAAACACTGGGAAAACTGGGGAATCTCTGGGAAGTGTAACTCCTTCCAGCCCCCCACTACATAAAGAATAAGTAAGCACTGAGTATCTCCAAGCATGTCATCATGGAGGAATCTATGCTTTTGAGGAATGAAAGAGCCTTTCTATGTCAGTGAGAGGACAGCAATGCACCATTGCTCTCTGATAATTCGTATCTTTCCCTTGCAGGTCCCTTTCAGTGCTACCATGTCGCCAGTTCGCTTGCATTCCTCCAATCCCAACCTCTGTGCAGATATTGAGTTTCAGACGCCCCCTAGTCACCTCACAGACCCTCTGGAAAGTTCTACAGATTACACTAAACTTCAAGAAGAATTTTGTCTGATTGCACAGAAAGGTACCGTAGAACAGAACATGACATTTAGGAAAACTCGCTTTTTTGATGAGATGCTGCCACTTAACTTTCATCTCATCTGGATGGTCATGGTCGAAAACGTTGTTTACATACTAGATGGAGTTTTGTAGCCAAAATGCAGTGTGATATGATGCCTGCCTCTTGGGTGGCAGCTGTAATCATACTTTAGAGTTTTAACGGAACTTAAAAAAATGTATCACAGGATGTGGGCCACACTGGGGGGAGAAAGACAAAAAGGTTTAGCCCTGGCAAGCCAGCAGAGGCAACTGCACCAGCACTCTTTTGGGAAGCAGGGGGTGGGAAGGGTGAATATCTTTTATTAGGCACTGAATACATATTTGTGAGTTGTTCTTAGAAAGGATAAAAAAGAATTAGATTCCTTTGAGTTTTTTTTTTAATTTAATGTACTCATTGTATTTTCCAGTCCAGTGAATTCAGGCAGGGCTCTGCTAGGCAGTTCTGTACCATGGGATACTAACAGTGGCATTTGGCTGGGGACTATCGGGGACCAACAGGCCCGAACTAAACTTGACCATGTCTCAAGCATTCTGGTGTGATAGCCACAAAGCTCCGCACAGCTGTGTCCCTCCTCCTCTTGTGGCAATCAAGCACCAAGGGACTAGTGTGAAAGCTGCTGGGCCTCTTCTGACTTCATTCTCCAGCCAGCAAACCTTCCTGGCAATCCAGCTTCATAGGCCAATCCAGATTTTAGGGGAGGGGACAGCAATCCCACCTTGGAGTTTCTCTGTAATATTAATTGTTTAATAACTATTGTATAATTAGCCTTTTGTCTTCAGCCACAGAAAAGTAAGGTAAATAAATAATTAGGAAATAGAACCCTATATGGTGCTAGAGCAATAGTACAGTGGGTAAGGCACTTGCCTTGCATGCAACTGGCTCTGGTTTACTCCCTGACATCCCATATGGTCCCCTGAACACCTGTAGGAGTGACTTCTAAACACAGAGTAGGACTAAGCTCTGGGTGTGGTGTTTACCAAGATTCTCTTCCCAAATTAACTCTCTGCCTACACTCTTATTGTTTTGGAGTATTCAAACTTCAGCCACTGAGATTCTTTTTTTTGGATTTAAGATCACGCTTTCTTAGGCACTGTCTTTTAAGAGAAGGCAAGACAGTACCATTTTGTACCTGGTTTGTCCAATGGTACCTCCAGTAGCCTCTTTTTGGGGGGGGAGGGGTCAAAAAACCAAAACCCAGCGATGCTCGGGGGTTACACCTGGCTCTACACTCAGGAATCACTTCTAGTGGTGCTCAGGAAACCATGTGGGATACTGGGGATTGAACCTGGGTTGGCTGTGTGCAAGGCAAATGCCCCTCCTCCCTGCTGTACTATCGTTCCAGCCCCATCCTGTGAGCCTCTTAATACTCAGTTGCCTGTAACTCAGGTAAAGCAAGAACACACACAGGCATCATTCAGAATAGTAAAGCAAACTTCAGACTCTCAAACTAGCAACACAGAGTCCATACTCTCAAAGAATTCAGCAAGATCATCTTACCCTTTTTTTTCTATAGATTTCTCATTTGAAAAAAAATTTTTTTTTACTTTTTTTGTTTCATTTTGGTCTATACCCAGTGCTGCTCAGGGGTTACTCCTGGCTCTGCACTCAGAATTAATTCTGGCGGTCTTCAAGGGACCACATGGGATGCCAGGGATCAAACCCAGGTCAGCCACATGCAAGACACATGCCCTACCCACTGTATTATCTCTCTGGTTTCTCAGTTGAGATTCTTAAATCCACTCTCATCTACTATTTTACTCTGAATTTTCACTACATGTCTTAGACTAATTAGGTCTTTAGGCTAGGTCAGTGTTCTTTTGTTTATATGAGAACATAGATCTGTCACCAGTAACCAAGTAAAAGTTCCTGCCCAAAATGGTACTTTACTTTCAGTAGAGCACAGCAGTCCTGGGGTCACAAGACCACCAGTGTGTGAGTTAAATATATAGCACAGCTATGATGGGAGAGAGGTTTGAAAGTAGCCCCAGGAAAGCTCTGTGTGTTCACATGCAATCCTGAAGCTTTCAGAAAATCCAAATTTCAACAGTATTTTAAAGCCTCTATTGAACAATTTATTTTCTTTTCAACATAGTCCAATTCTTTATTTGAGGTGGGGGAAAAGGAAATTGAACTCTTTGGGAAGAATTATGGATTTGGAAATGAGTGAGAGTTTGTTTTTACAGCCATCAGTGAAGCTAATGTATTCCTATCAAGTGATTACTTTTAATCAATGATGACTGTATATTTTATATAGCAATATATAAAATATATGCTATAGATTCTGGGTTCCCATATATTCTTCCATATTCCCTACTTTAATTCAGGTCATTGTCTTAAGTACAAAAAATTTTCACTTCTTGGGCTGGAGAGATAGTACAGCTAGTAAGGAATGCAGTTGCCATGCATGTAGCTAATCCAGGTTTAATTCTTGGCACTGCATATCGTTGGTTCCCTGAGCATCACCAGTCATGATTCCTGAGCACAGCCAAGTGTGACCCCCAAACCAAAGAAATAAAGTAATATTTTCCATTCCTTTTAAAAATTACCTTTCTCCAAAAAACCCTATTTTTGAAGTCTTTTTCTAGTATAGAAATGGCACAGCGGTAGGGCGTTTGCCTTGTGTGCAGCCAGCCTGGCCGAGCCAGGTTCGATTCCTCCACCCCTCTCAGAGAGCCTGGCAAGCTACCAAGAGTATTCGATATGCCAAACACAGTAACAAGAAGTCTCACAATGGAGACATTACTGGGCCCCTCTCAAGCAAATCAATGAACAATGGGAGGACAGTGTTTTGTGTTTGAATAAATTCAGCCTTTTGTATTTCAGAATGAAACAGGACCTCATGTTTTATAGTTATGTTAGAAATACAGAAATGGGGATGCTGTTTTTATTTCCAGATTTACTGAGAGATAATGACATAGCATTGTATAAGTTTAAGTTGTATGTGTTGATTAGATAAAATTATGTGTTGTAAAGCGATTAACCCCCTAGAATTAGTGAACATTTCCATCATGTCACATGATTACCTTTGTGTGCAAGAATACGTAAATCTGTTATTTTAACAGTTTTCAAGTATGTAATACAGTATTGTGAACTGTAATCACCTCACTATACATTAGATTCTCAGAACATATTTATCTTATAACTAGAAGTTTGTGCTCTTTGAAAGCAGTTCTAATAACAAGATGATCTGAGCTGAGACCATAATAAATGCAAGTGCTGTTCTTAAGACCACAGCTTCTAGCTCATTAACCTGTCTTATATTGACAGAACTCACAAAATACTGTTTTGTGGGTACACAATTTCGGAAAAACTTTGGATAGTTGCATATCATTTTCCCGAGACTTTATTATACCAGAACTGCTCTGATATTTCCATCATCTATGGCAGAGCGAAACTTATTCTGTATGCCTTCTAAAAATTACAGATTAGTTTCTAAGAATTGGTATGTAGAACTGATACTGAGTGTACTTCCAAGTCCTTGTTGGCCTATTTTGTATAAAATGCAAAATCTTTCCCCAGATTGCTACTACTGTGTTTTGTATAGAGCTCTTCTGACCATTCCATTTTAAGGCAGACTTTTGATTAGACTAATCCAATTTTTACATACAAAAATGTGCAATTATGAGTCAAAATGCTGAGAAGTTTACAATCTTACCTCTTCTTGTTGGATACTTTTCTTCCCGTGCAGTGCATTCACTTTTGAAGTCTGCATTTAATAGCATTGCGATAGAGAAGGAGAAACTGAAGCAGATGGTTTCTGAGCAGGATCACAATAAGGGCCACGGCACTCACATGGCTCGTCTCCGACAGTCCCTGTCTCAGGTAAACGAGAGTGTTTGTTTCAAACCTGGACCAGTTCCACACCCTGCATGCTGGAAGCTGGAGTGATGAAGTCACTGATTTGTAGGCTATAAGAAAACAATATAAAGTAATGGACAGACAAAGCTTGATGTTCCCATCAGTAGAACTTTCTGCTAATGGGGTGGTGTGGGTGAAGGACTAAGAAGGGGTCTAGGGGCAGTGGTGGAAGGATGTTGATCCTCTGGTGGCTACATTGCCAAAATATTAATACTAATGCTGTAAAGCACGGTAACTCATTTTTTCAGAAAAAAAAACCCATTATAAAAAGAACAGTGGGGTGGAGTTAACCATCCAGGTGACAAGAACACATTCATCAAAATTCTCCACAGTGCAGTGTCAGAATTAAATTTCACTACTCCCCTTCCCCAAAATGACCACTTAAAAGCAAAACTCAACCAAACAGGTTTGTATACATGGCATTGTTCTTTGAATACTTTTGTTATTCATGGAATATATTCTTATTTGAATACTTTTAATGTCTATGATCAGTTATGAGAGACTGTACTTGACTGTCTTAGCTACAATATGTCCCATAACATACTCAATCTGTTATTAATGAGGAAAAATACCGCTACATCTTCCACAAAATTATTTTTCCAGTTACAGTACATTCTAATATTTTCTTAATATTTTTTTACTTTTAACTTTTTATTGAATCACTGTAATACGATACAGACCCTTAAAAAGCTGTTCATTATTAGATTTCAGTCATACGGTGTTCCAACACCACATCTCCACCACACCAGTGTACATTTCCCAGCACCAGTATCCCAAGGTTCCCTCTCATCACTCTCCACCCCACAACTGCCAGCCTGCCTCTATGCAGGCACTTTTCTTCTCTCTCTCTCTCTCTCTCTCTCTCTCTCTCTCTCTCTCTCTCTCTCTCTTTCTCTCTCTCTCTCATCTTTTTAAAATTACTGACTACCCTATTTTTTCTTATGTGCACTCAGGATTTTGTTCTTTAGTTATGCTCCCTGAAGCAAAACATTTATATTTCAATATATATAATGTATTATGGTATGCAAGGTTATGTTGATCCCTGTATAGACCAAAGGTGAAATCTCTGTTTAAAATCCTTTTAAAAGCTTTACTATATTGATGCTTTAATAAATACCAAGAACTTCTTCTGAAATATTCATTTAGCCTGTAAAAATATTGTTAAAAATTCTTTTGAGAATTCATTGTTACCATGTGACTGCGTGAGAACTCAGTGTTTATGTAAAATATTGTTCACTTCCTGGTGCCCTGGATCAGAGTGAAGGACCAAGCAAATCCTGGGTAAGTGGTTTTCCATGTGAATTAACACCTGCTTGAATAGTTTCCCTCAGCCCCTAAAACTCTTGATTTACGGTGTCTCACCCCGTCTCATATACCTGAATTGTCAGTGTATTTTGAATGGGAGGCTTCCTGTTACTGAGCACTGTTATCTGTACCCTACCTGCTGCACTCGCCATAAAACCTGTCAGTTGAGGTGCATCTGCTGCTGCCAACGTGGAATGAGGGGCCCCAGAAGCATGAGCATTCAAAGCTGCAACCGCTGTGCCAGTCTGCAGAGAATTTTCATTTTACAGGCATACCTCAGTGACTTGCCCTGGCACTGTTCTCCTGTCCTGTGTCTGTTAAACTCTCAGTCTATGCTAAATGATCTTCTGAATCATTTTTCTGGGAGTGTGAATCAGAAAGATCACCAGAATGGCGAGATAAACATGGAGTGTCACCTCGTAAATATGTACGAACTTGTTGGGTTCCTTTCATGTTGTCATGTTTCCTTCAGCTGTATTTAATGATGGAAATTTAGCAGTCTAAGAAGAACTTGTATTGATTCAAAAAAAAAATAAGAAGAAAAGGCATTTCTTGCTTGCTATCATTTATTTGCTTGTTGGTAGGACAGAATGGTAAATAGAGATACAGGTTTGGGAGATTTAGTGAGATTGGAAATGATGAAGAGAAATTGTAAGTCATTTATTTGTTCATTCATTCATCCATTCTGTTTTATCCCATAGGAAATACGTTAGGTACCATGCAGGGTAGGGCACACCAAGATGAAAGCAGCCTTGGCTACATTCCCAGGAAGCTCTGGCTCCGACTGAACTATATTTATGCAAGTGTAGTTGTTGTGACTACACTGTCAACCATTCACGAGTCCCTGGGTGCGGCTGAATTCTGAGCCTGGTCACTCAGAGAATAGGAAATTCCCTGCTTGTGAGACCCACAGGTCACACTCCTAGAAGAATCAAGCCTGGAGTGCAGCCTAGGTACACAGAAGCAGCTCATGAGAAAGGACTTGTAGTAGCATTATTTGGGTAAAATAAGGCAAAATTATATCATTGTATCCTTTGGGTTAAGTATTTCCTTTTCTTGTCACAACGTGTTTCTTTGCATTTATATTTAGTCACCATAGCTTTCTGTTGCTTTTTATTTTCTTTCTTTTTTCTTTCTTTTTTATTTTTTTGTTTGCTTGGTTTATTCTCGGTCAAAATGTTTAGTTGTATTTTTAACCCCCCCCCAAAAAAAATCTACATTCAAAAGAGGTAACAGTAACTTGGGATTCTAAAAATAATTGTGCCCCATTCACTAAAGCAGTCAGTGCTTCCCCCACAGCATTTGGGTAGTGTTCAGTCTCATGTCTGCCCATCTCCTCCCACTGGGCCAGTTGCACCTCACTGTCTATTGGCACCACCACTGAGGCCAGAATCTTCTTTTGGAAACCTTGTTCGGCCTTTTTATTTGGCATATGAGTTTAATGGTAGACTCCTTTTTTAGGAGTCACTGTCGTTAGACATAATGGGATGTAGCTGAAGAATGACAGTTCATATTGAGTAAAGCATGGGAAACCAGGAAAGAATATAGCTAGTGGGGAGCCAGCTTATTAGGAACTACATGAAAGAGCTTAATTTATCTTATCAATAATGAGGAACCTTCAAGATTTGTAACTAATGAGGCATAATACCATAAATTGGAAAATATTGTTACATACTTCCATATATTAGTAATGTCTCTCTGGCACAGTAGATGGTTAGAATTAAGGCAAAACTCAGAATAGGTCTCAGTTAAGAATTGACCTTAGGATATGAGCCAGAGAAATACTACAGTGGGTATGGCACTTGCCTTGCACACAGCCAAATTGGGTTCAATCTCTGGCATCCCATATGGTCCCCTTAGCATCACCAGGAGAAGTAATTCCTGAGTTTAGAGCCAGGAGTAACCCCTGAGTACTGCAGGGTATAGTCTGAAACCAAACACACACACAAACACACATACACAATACTGGGATAGGTAGGAGGAGGTGGGTTCTAAGAACCCTTCGTGGGAATAAAAAGCATAACTTCAAGATCATCTGAATCAATTAGAGCGGAACAAAAGACAATTTGTTTCCAGATTGTTTAATTACATTAACTGTGTAAATGGCAGTTCTATTTTCCCAAGACAGGATTTGCAAGAGGAATGGGTTTGTAAGGGTAAATAGTGAGTGGTTTTTGTGGAGTTTGGGATGTCTATGGGACACCCAAGAGACCGTTTGATATATAGATGTAGGTCTCAGAAAAAAGATCTGGGTTAGAGAGAAAGATGTGGCTACCTCAGTACATTGGCAAAAATATAGATAGATGTTGATAAATTGTGAGTTTGGTCATAATAAAAATGGTCAGTGGTGCTGGTGCTCTCATAAAGAACATTAATAATTTAATTCATTGGAGTAAAATAATAGAATCCTTTGGTGGAGACCCAGGAAAAAGTAGCCATAGATCTTAGAGAACAATGACCCTTAAAGTCAAGTGGCAGAAATTTCAGCCTTGTCTCAGTAGGAAAAGGTTAGCAGAACCTGATTTTAGTGGAAGATGATTTGTGGGCTGAAATTTGTCATCATCTCCACTTGGTTATTTCATAAGAGGAAGAGACCAGCAGATGAGGAGAAGCTGAAGATGAGAAACAGTTAACTGAGTTGGAACTATTAGCTAACTCAATTTCGATTTTCAAGACAGACTGAACAGAATACTAACTAGTCTAAGTACATTGAGACAAATGTTCTGAGTATTGTTGTTTTATATTAGTTCAACTTTATATTACAATTTTAGCTAGCCTAAAGACATTGTCAGCCCATGATAAGGATTATCAGTTAAACCCCAAGATGTTTTTCTTGTGACGGGCTGTTAAGTCAGGTTTCCCCTTACAGAAAGACAGAGAGTTTAAATAACCTCTTGAATTAGTCTAGCATCTGTAAAAGCATCTCTTATTTGATATAGCCCCTATTTAATATATATCTATAGCACTGTTTTCCAGTTGTTCAATTTTTTCTCGAGCGGGCACCAGTAATGTCTTCATTGTGAGACTTGTTACTTTTTTTGACATATCAAATACGCCACAGGAAGCCTGCCAGGCTCTGCCGTATGGGTGGGGTGCTCTCAGTAGCTTGCCAGGCTCTCCGAGACGAACAGAGGAATTGAACCTGGGTCAGCCGCATGCAAGGCAAATGCCCTACCTGCTGTGATATCACTCCAGTGATAATATATATCTATATGATATATATCTAGATGTCGAAATATATAATATATATATCCAGACATCAAAATACTGCTTTACAATCACTCTATGTTTTGTCTTTCTTCTTAGCAGTGCTAGGAGTCAGATCCAGGGTCTTACACATAAAAGGCAAATGCTTACTGCTGACCTATACGGTGGCCTTCAACTAAGCTTTTAAGTTGCTCCCTTTACAAACTTGACAATTTCCAACCTCCGTGGCATTTAAATATATGAAATCAAGACTGGACGTCTCACTTAGAGGTAGACACTTACAGTGTAGATGCATGAAGCCATAAGTTTGATCCCTGGAACCAAAATAACATACATAAAGTTAGCATCCTTTGCTACGTATTACCTCACTTGAGCAGCAAATAATTTATAAGACTGGACAGTGTATGAATTTCCTCTTTGAAAGTAATGTTTATTCCTTAGCTTGCATTTTAACAAAACATATATAATCCTGTTGTTATTCCTACTGTTATGCCTAAGGAACTTTTAAAAATTAACTTTTACATCTTTAGACAGTATAGATATCAGACTCGATTTGCAGGCCAGGACATTTATATAACCTCTGCCCCCTATTAAATCATTTTATTTCATCACAATTATAATTCAGTAGTGCCCTGAACACCAGAATCAATTATTATATTAATAAGACTAATGTATCTGTTCCCTTAGAAATCACTTTCTTTTGCAACAGCTATAATTTCATGTCCCATTTGATGTAATGTACTATTAATATAGTATTAATATAGTATACTAAATTAATAATATAGCATTTGCGGCCACGCGACATCTTATTATCTCATTCCTACTTTGACAAACTGGCAGGCTACCGAATGTAGCCTGCCCACACGGCAGAGTCTGGCAAACTCCCCGTGGTGTACCCAATATGCCAAATGCCAGTAACAATGATGGGTCTCATTCTCCTAACCCTGAAAGAGCCTTGAATATGGCACTTTTTAAAATCTCAGGGCTAGGATGAAGGAGACGTTACTGGTGCCTGCTCAAGGCAATCGAGGAACAACAGGATGATTGTGATCGTGATCATGACTATTAATATAAAATTGCACATAATAAGACTAAGGTACTCTCAGCACCCTAGATTACTATAGTAACAAAAAATAAAATTTGAGTCTGCAAGACACTAATTGTGCTGGTTTGATTTTTCACCCCGGCACTTGTGCACCGCTTGTGCCAAATGTAGTAGATGTTGTACCAGTAAAATTGAGAGCAGATTCAATGTACCTCAGCTAGAGTCACTATATTTCGTTAAATCAATATGCCGTTAATTGTTATTATATAATCATCCTGTGTTTTAATAAGGGAAAATTGTTGTCAGTTAGGCTGACAGTGTTAAATGTGGTAGAAAATATGCATTTTAGGATTAATGAAATGAGCCGTGTATAAAATGTAAGCAAAAACGTTAGTTTAAGACACATAGCAACATAATGAAAATTCCAGTCATAGTATTTACCATTCTTCCTGCTACAGCTTATTATATACCCAAAATAAATATGCTTTGGGATATGAGTTCCAAGTGTATTTTTTTTGTTCCAGAATTTGTTTTTGATATCTGGCCAAGTTTTTTTCTGTATGAAAATATTTTTTAGACTCTTTCACATCAGTTTTTAGCTAGCCAGTAAGTGAAATTGATGTCACTTTGGATGTATTTTGACAGCTTTTGTTAAAACCTGTAAAGAAATTTTATCCTTTGATCATTTAGCCCATGATTGGTATGTTTAATTTAAGAAAGTAACGCTGAATGTAGGAAACCATGAAGCTCATGAATGCTCGTGGCATATTACATTTTTTAGTAAAAATTAAAGAAGAAAAGTTGCCAATAATTGCTTAATTCTAACTTCAGCCATCACGATTATATTTGTGAAAGTTTGCAACATAAAATAAATCTTTATATGCAAAGAAGTGGCAGCCACAGAATGTAAAGTTTGTTCCTAGTAATAAGGAAAATATAAATAGCTGACAATAAGGCCCTTGAGAGAGTGAAGAGAAATATGACAAGCTAGGGCTAGAGAGATAGTACATGAGTTAAGGCACTTGCATAGCCTTGATACCCACCTTCAGCCTCAACACTGGTTCTATCCCTGGCACCATATATGGTCCCCCAGAGCTGTCAGAAGTCACTTCTGAGCACAGAGCTAGGGATAGCCTCTGAGCCCTACTGCTGTGAATCCTCCCCAAAAGAAAAGAAATATGCCAACCTACCAACAATTGGTCTGTTGTATAAGATATGATATTTTAAGTATTTTCTACTTTTCTTTTCATTTTCCACACAGACTCCGTATTTATTTTTTAATTAAAAAGATGATTTTTAGATGATATCCAGGATTTGGTTTTTTCATTCTTTCAGAACCAAATTTAAGTCTTTGATGATTGTATTTTGTTAAGATTTAGATCTTTCAACCCTCAGGCTTCCTACCACGTTTCTCTCCCAGAATGCACAGCTTCTTTTGGTCTTATCCAATCTCAGATAACTTTTCTCACCCATTGTCTACCAGGATGGATGCACTTAGTAGCCTAGAAAGCGGGGACTTGGGTGATAAACTGAGGTGCAAATCTTCAAGATGGTGACTTCTTTCATGGATTGGGTGGGAATGATTTGTTTCTTGGATATAGTAGAGTGGCAAACGTGGGGATGGGAGACATTGGGGAAACAAACATATTGTGCGGAACCTGTAATTTAATTCAAACTCACTAACAAAAACAAGTAGTGTGAGGGCCAGAGAGATCTCCAGGAGGTGGAGCTCATGTTTTGCTTACAGGAAGCCTGGGCTTGATCACAGGTACGGTTTAGTTCCCTGAGCATGCCTGCAGTGAGCACCCCCAGGAGTAATCCCCAAGCACTGAGCCAGGTGCAACACCTCCTCCCCCAACAGCACAGAGGTGTCTCAAAAATAAAAAATAAATAAATAAAAGGATCTCAATAGCAGGTAGTGATAACAAATCCAAAGCCTGCCTGGTGAAGAATCTCAGACCTGTTCCGGAGATTCAAGATGCTTCCATCCTGTTAATCCTTTGCCAGATAGAGCCAATAAAAAGGCCTGTGAGAGAGTGATGTTTCTGTCGAGTCTCCATAGCTTTTCTTACTCATTCGCTCGCATGAGCTACAGGTACTCTGCCTCCTTTTTCCTTGCTCTGCCACTATGCATCCCATAGGTGGTTTCTGCCAGCATCTGGGATCTTCTGTGTTAATTCTCCAAATTGTGTCAATTCACTCAAAACACCAGTACTCTTCAATACTCTCAAGGCTTCCATAATATCATTACAGAGAAAATAGCTGAGCTTCCAGGAAGGCAGTAATAAATGTGGTCCTGAACCACTAGCTGAGAGCATGACACTGCAAACAGAGCTCACAGCTCTTGGTTGTAGGCAACTTCCGAACCAGTCAGTGGTGTATGATCAAGGCAAAAGGAGGAGCCACCTGGGTTAGAGGCACAGGAAGTGGCTGCTGCATGCTCAGCTGTCTGCTTCCACTCCTACTAATGTCTCACCAGACTTGGGACTGTGTTTCCATGCTATTTGTGCTATGTAAATGTTTTTCTACCACTACATATATATTTTCAATCGAATTACTTGTCTTAAACAGTAGCTCATTCCCTATTGATCTCAGTGGCTAGAGGTTACTTTGTGTGCCTTCAGACATGTATAGGCAGGATGACATGAGAGCTTATGTGAACATTTAATTTTTCTTTAAATCCCCAGAGCAAAGCATAGTACAACATTTCTTCTAAATATCAAACCTGTGTTTCAGACTTGTACCCTAAGGATAGCCATTATTTATCCTTACCCTTGAGGTTTGTGGGATTGCTTTGTTAACTCTGTTCTCATGACAACAGAAGGTGCAGTCAATTTTTGTTTTAAGGTTTTTTGGGGGGTGAAAGGAGGCCACCCCCAGTGATACTCAAGGACTTCTCCAAGCTCCATGCTTGGGGGACCAGATGGTAGTGATGCTGGAAGATGAATCTCCCACATGCAAAACATGTGGAGTAGCTTGTTGGGTTCTCTCCCTGTCATGGTGTGGTCAATTCAGAGAAGCCATCAGGTCGACTATGATTCTATAGTTTAAACCATCAAACAACCTACCACAAATGAAATAACCTACCGCACATAAAGGTCTTCCATTTCCATGACATCAGAATATAGCTGGTCCCACACATTTCAGGGACAACTTTAAATATGCTTGGAGGCAGGAAATGAGAGAACAAGTAAGCATCTGTGTAATAGTCACCAAGGAAAGAATGAAGGTTTTTGTTTTGTTTTGTTTTTCAAGTGCTAAGTTGAGATTTTTGCTCCAGGAGGAATAACAATGAACACATTTGCAGAACATAATCATATTATGATTCTTCCTTTGAAGCCAAAGTTTTTTCTCTTAGAAAGTAATCACCCCACCTCTTTTAAAACTGCCTTCTCCTCAGAGAGTTGGATACATTTCTTCATAGTCATGGAGGTAATGACTCTCTGTATCCACCTTTAATTCCAACCCTTGTCAGCCCATCAGAATAAGTGGGTAATGTTTTATGATTATCTCATAAACCAGCTGTAAAGACTTTAAGTTTGGGGAAGAGGAAGGTATGCCTGGATCAAACCCAGGCCTCACACATACCAGTCAAGTGTTCTACCATAGAAACACATCCTCTGGCCCCTCTTAAAGACTATAAATCAAACCAAAAGCTGCAAGAGGAATATTTTTCCACAGAAAGCAGAAGCTAAGTTGAACGGAGTAAATGTATGGGGGAAAAGAGAGGAAGCTGATCCATTCTCCGTACTCAGGGACCATGCCTGCTCTTGCAAGTGTCAACTTTAGATACTTAGCCATTTTTCTAGGGTGTAAAACTTACCATTTAATGCTATCGTTGCTTTGCTGTCTTCTTTGACTCCTTGTGCAGGAAGCCGGATGCCCATTCTCGGGGCACAGGTCCTCAGTCCTGAACTCTGAGCAGTTATCTCCCACTATCAATACAGCTACCTCAGTCTCGTGATTGCTGATTTTCATGGGGATTAAAGAGCTGTGCAGATATTCACTGGGCTTGTCCTCACAAGGTCTATCACTTAAGACTTGATATAATTCCAATGAGCCCAATGAGCTACATCTTTCTTATGGAGGTGGGACTCACACATCAGTGTAATGCCTGTACTTTTGTTCTCAGGACCCCGGTAGGGATACCATCTTTTTTTTTTCTTTTTCTTTTTGAGTCACATCCGGGGTTACTCCTGGCTCTGCACTCAGTAATTGTTCCTGGCGGTGCTCGGGGACCATCTGGGAATCAAACCCGGGTTGGCTGCATGCAAGGCAAACGCCCTACCCACTGTGCTGTCACTCCAGCCCCAGGGATATCAAAGCTCTTCTTTTACCACGTGTGCTAAAGCTGTGCTATAACAGGTGAAATTTTACTCTCTCAGACTTGGATATATTGGACATAATATGATGATAATAATAATTCATTTTCTTTTACTTCTTACATTTTCTTGTTGTTATGGAGATCACATCTGCAGTGCCTTAAAGCCACCAAGAGCCACACCAGGTGGTATGCAGGGTTTGGTTTCGGGGGTATGGGCATGGGGATTGTGAGGGAAGCATATGGTGCCAGGGTTCAAGTCCAAGGCTTTGCACATGCAAATTCTTTTTGAAGTCTTTATTAATTACTTAAGGCACCTTTGGTCTGCATTTTACTTAGTTCTGCTCAGCAGTACTAAAGCTGTAGCTCAGGCTTGCCTTTTATGTGGGAATGCCTGTATTAGGTCCTGACACCATACACACACACATACACACACACACACACACACACACACACAAATTCTGCACTGTCATGGGTATTAATTACATTTTAACCATGTAATTAATTTGGAAAATTAAAATGCAGCTTTTCCTATAAGCAGGTTAAAGTACACTTCTATAAAATATATTACTTATAAATAATGAAATCACTTATTTTATTCATTCCCAAATAACCAGCAAGAAAACTTAATGTATTTGAAATGATTCCCAAACTTTAGAAACTGGGACAACAATAACAAAAAGCATTGATAGTTTTGATACCAGACCCTAGAAAATAATATATATGTGGTGGTAGACTGGGCTTGGATGCAGTGGGCCAGCTCTAAGGAAGAGAAAAATCCATGAATCTTTTTCTGTGAAGTCCCTGAGCTCTTTCAACCTACTTACTAACCTACTAAATGGTTGTCTTTGATTACAAAAATGAACACCTTAATTCTGATCCATTTATTTTCTTACCAGTGTGAGCTGGCTTGTGATGACTTCAGAAGTTACATTGAGAACACCCTTGGTTGTCTAAATTGTACCAGTGTGCTTGTTCTATTTTATGTTTGCTTAATAATTCCAAATTACATGTGTGGTTTTTGTTCTTTTAAGGCACTTAACCAGAATGCTGAACTAAGGAGTCGGTTGAACAGAATACATTCAGAATCTATTATTTGTGATCAGGTTGTCAGTGTAAATATTATTCCTAGCCCTGATGAGGTAAGACTCACTTTTTAATAGATGTAGAGTACTTATTTCATAATATTTAAGTTTACAGCATATTTTCGTTTATTTTTATAACCCTTTTATTTTATAGTTTGATATTTTATTTTTAGGTGGTTCTTTCACTATTAGTAAGATTACTTGGTATGTATTTGATTACTTGGTATGTATTTATTTTTTTGAGACAAATTTATATCTGATAGTTCAGTGACTTTGAAAGTATGTCCATGAATTACATATTATTTATTCTTGGTTATTGGTGTCAATTGTTTTTTTCTATGTTCTCTCCATGCCAGATGTTTAGTTTATTTATATATATTTTAGCTTGTGAATTTCTGCATCTATCTCATTTGAAAATACTCATTGCCATCACATATTGGAAGAAATTTTTTTTTCTTTTTGCTTTTTGTGTCACACCCGGCGATGCACAGGGTTTACTCCTGGCTCTGCACTCAGGAATTACTCCTGACAGTGCTCAGGGGACCATATGGGATGCTGGGAATTGAACCTGGGTCAGCTGCATGCAGGACAAACACTCTACCCACTGTGCTATTACTCCAACTCCCTTGGAAGAAAATTTTTAGTTGAGATGGAGCTAAATCTTTTATCATGGCTTTTAAAACCCTGTTCAATAAGAATAATCATCTGAGATTGCTAAAATAATAGTAGTGGTGCTGCTACAACTCTATTATTAGTGATAATAATAATTAATAGCTAACACGTGTCAAGTGAATGATTACCACATGCTACCATTTGATTCAGTGACATTAAAGTAGATACTGTCGTTGCTCCATTTTTCAGAAGAATTCTTAATAAAATGGTGAGATTATTAGACAATGTCCAGTACTGGGACAAGATTTAATGTAATTCTTCTTACAACCATTTTTTATAGTATTATAACCATGGGAATTTATACTGTTCAATACTACTAGTGCTTTATGTCCAGTGATACAGTTAATAAGGTTATATCTTTAACTAATAGTTAGGTCATATATGCACCAAAAACATTTATTTTACCATATGTACATATGCAAAGTTTCCACCATCTAACTGCTTAGAAATATCACCCTAGACAGCTTCTCTTTAAGTTGCCTACCCAAAGTCCATTCACTCAATGGATTCCAGAATTCCTAATTATACTTAATACCTGCCCATTTGCTCAGAATTTGGAAGTATTTATTAAACTTTGTCATTCAATAAAGTTCAATGGTATTGAGTCTTTTTATCAATCTGACATGTATACTAGAACATGCATATTACAATTATATAATGATGTTCTCTTATAATTCACTGTTAAAACTTAAATAGCCTCCTTTTAAACAACATTTAGTACTAAAGCTATAATATTAAATAAAGTTCAAAATTCCAGTCATGTTTCATTACTTATTTTGTATCAAATTAGAAGATGAATTTCATATATTCTACGTAGATTGTTTTATTATAAAATCTCTAATAATTTCTACAAATATTTCTTGATGTTGTACTTAAATCTGGTTCAAATATGATTAGTAATGAGAGACCTAAGCTTGTGAGAATGAACTTATCTCCACATTTCATTCATGGTATTGACAGAGGCACAACTTGTTAAATTACACTCAATAAAAGTTGAACAGATTGAAAATCAGGGCATAGTCCCAGTACTTTTCAGCTATGCCATCTGGACTTTCTAGATGTCTTGGAAGAAAACTTTGACCAGGGTCATCAGATGCTGCTGAGTTACGCATGAAAATTACTTTTGTTACCACTCAACATATGATATGAATTTTTCTGTGCTCAGAAATTTTTTGTTTTTCTTTTAATTTGGGCTTCACCTGGTTATATTCAGAGCTTGGTCCTGTCTCTGTGCTCAGGGATCACTCCTGGCAGAACTCAGGGGTCTTTATGATCTAACCCAGGTTGCCCTCATGCAAGGCAGGTATCTCTCTAGTCCATGATGTGAATTTCTTGAAAAAAACTGGCTAGCACATCATGATGAAATTTTAATGAATAGTTTTTTTTTTCTTTTTGAGTCACACCGGGTGATGCACAAGGGTTACTTCTAGTTCATGCACTCAAGAATTACTTATGGCGGTGCTCAGGGTTCCATATGGGATGCTGGGAATCAAACCCGGGTTGGCCACATGCAAGGCAAACGTCCTACCTGCTGTGTTATCACTCCAGCCCCCTGAATAGCTATACTTGCCAAAAAAAATTGCATCATATGCTTTTTTCCTCTGTAGGCTGGCGAGCAAATTCATGTCAGTCTCCCTCTGTCACAGCAAGTAGCCAATGAGAGTCGCCTCTCCATGTCAGAATCTGTCTCTGAGTTCTTCGATGCCCAAGAGGTGCTCCTCTCTGCAAGCTCATCAGAAAATGAGGTAAGGTTCTCAGTGTGTCAACCTGAGCTGCTTTTGATTGTGACTAAAAGTTAAATAGTGACTGTGAATCTTATTATAGTAAGATGTCCAGAAGTAGTAAAGCCAAAAGTACATAAATTTTAGTTCTCTTTGACTAAATACAACACACTAGGCAACAATATTGATGGGGGAGACTTTTTTGTAACTTCCTCATGTTCCATATTTCAGTATAACATGGGAACAGTGGCAAATATTGTAGTTAAGGCATTTGAAGACCTCAGCACTGTATATGGTTAATTGAGCACAGAGCCAGGAGTGATCCAATAGCACCTCCAGGTGTGACCCAAATTCCCTCCCCACCAAAAAAAGTTTAATAGCAGTTCTTTGAGAGACTAGCTGATAAATATTGAAAGAATGGGAGAATTAAAAAGTCACCATCTTTGCCAGAGACTTGACTTTGAACTTATAAGGATAATATTAGGCTGTATCTTTGATTGCGTGTCATCCTTGCGCAGGGGCCATGCTAATCTTCTCTGTATCGTTCCAATTTTAGTATATGTGCTGCCGAAGCGCTGGAGCAATAGCACAGCGGTAGGGCGTTTGCCTTGCACGCAGCCAACATGGCCGACTCGAGTTCAATTCTTCCGCCCCCCTCGGAGAGCCTGGCAAGCTACCCATGATGTATTTGATATGCCAAACACAGTAACAACAAAAGTCTCCAATGGAGACTTTACTGGGCCTGCTTGAGCAAATCGATGAACAACGGGAGGACAGTGACAGTAACATCTTTGGTTAATTTGGGTTTGGAGAGATTACTACTGGCTACCATAAAATAACTCCATTGTTTGTCTCCCCTCCTTTTTCCATTTGTTTGTTTTTGCTGTGGGGGCGGGGAGTGTGTGGAGACCAAACTTGGTACTTAGGGGCTACTCTCTGCTCTGTGCTCTGTGGTCCTTGCTGTCATTGCCTGAGGAACCATGTGCTAGAGATTGAATATGGACCTCCCAGCTCTTTGAGGTATCTCTCCAGCCCCAAGTTCCTCCCCTTTTAATTGATTAGTCATTTATCTTTATCATATAATATTACAAACTTTCAGGGGTATAGTTTGATAATTCTGTATTTAGGACTAACTGAACCCACCAACAAATAGACTCCTCTACCCATTCCTTCCCTCTTCTCCCTTTCTCTCTTTCCCTTCAGTGGCTACCACAGTTCTGAGTCCAGGAGTTAATTTGTTGGGTTTTCTCAGTTTGTTTGACGTAGTTACTTATATTCCATTTATGTCTGGCAATTAAATACTCTCTTAGATTGTTGTTAATTTGCCTAAGTCTTGGCAGGGTTAGAAATACAAGACTTCTTGCTTGGTCAAGTGGTAGAAATGAATTTTTGCTGAAATTTAGTAAAATGTGCTTTATTTACATTTTGGTGCATGGGAGAAGCAACCAAAGCTCTTTCCCACATAGCTGATGAGAAATTTTGCCTCTTGAGATTGCAAACCTGTGCCACATTTTTGTGAAATGAAAATTTTTGACGAGTGTTATTTCCATATGCTTAGAGATTAGACTGGAAGGAAGCAGCCTGACAATTAGTAGTAGTTTTTTTCAGTGTTTGGAATTATGAATGGTTTTTCTGGAATGATAGCACAGCGGTAGGGTGTTTGCCTTGCCTCAGCCAGCTTGGCCGAGCCAGGTTCGATTCCTTCGCCCCTCTCGGAGAGCCCGGCAAGCTACTGAGAGTATCTCACCTGCCCGGCAAAGCCTGGCAAGCTACCTGTGACATATTCAATATGCCAAACACAGTAACAGCAAGTCTCAAAAAAATGGAGACATTACTGGGCCTGCTCGAGCAAATCGATAAACAATGGGAGGACAGTGTTTAGAAAGAAAAATAAGTGTGAAAGAGAAATGTAAAATGCATGCATTTTGCTTTCATAAGGGAGAAAAGTAAACCAGAAATCTCATCTCCATGAATGAGTTTTACCTCACCAAGCTGGGTGCACCTTGGTGAGGTAACACCAACTGCACATTAACTGATGGCTACAGTCACACATTAACTGATGCTCTGACTCTCATTCACTCACAGGAGAACTCATTTCATTATTTATAATGGTAATTGATGTTACCAGATGGACAAAATAATCATACTTGCTGATGATTTTCTCTTTCCCTGTGGGCAGATATGTGTGGGAAGCCTAATTCTAGATAGAAGGTTGTTAGATGAGCCAAGAATGGGAACAGTGAGTTAAGTGAATAATTTAAGGCCAGGAGCCCCAGGGTGTCATAATTTCAATATTGTGTCTCTGCTGCCTTCAGAAGGATATTCTGCCACATGCAAGGAAGTTTTGTATCTTTTGTTCTCTGCACCCCCCAGGAGCCACTACGAAGTAGACATGCTGCCAGCAATTTCTTTTCTGACTCTTCCTTTCCTGAAGTTCCATTACTGACCAGTCCTTTGTCCTTGTTAAATTAGTGTATGGTCAAATTTGACTATACATTTTCTGAGCTCTGACACAAAATCTGATGACTTTATCTCTCAGAGTACAACTTCAAACCCTCTAAGATCTTGGGGAGTTGCCCACTGGGTGCCCAGGTGCCACAGAACAGAAATGTAAAGGTAGCATCATTGACTGTATGGATCCCAGAAAGATGGTCTTTTTCTCCATCATATCCTCTGGTAAATTGGTGGCAAGAAGAGGGACACAGAAGTCCAGGTAACAAGTGCCCTTTAAGGCACTGATAAGTTTATTAGACTTATCAATACAAGTATCTGTAAGGCAGGTGGATATTCTATGGGCTCAAGGAGAGAGAAAGTGCATGCATAACAGGTTCTCCCCAAGTTGGAGTCTTATCTGAATCAGAATGAGGTGCCAGTGGGTCCACGTGGAGTGATGGGTCATGTCCCTGCCTGTGGCTGTTCTGATACCCTACTCCTCCTCCCCCATGCTCACACCTCTCCCACTTCTCCTGCTTTTCACTCAAGTAAATAATTGTCAGACAAATCCACAAGGGACTGTGATCTTATTCAGAGACCCTGTAGGTGTGGTTAGAATTTCAAAGATAGCCATGATTCTGTTGATACAATTTTTCCCCAATTTTATTTGTATATAGTTGTTCACAATAATTTATTACATTCAATATTCAACACCAATCTCACCATCATAACACCTTCTCACCATCATTATTTTGAATTTTCCCACCACCACCAAAGTCCTTGGTAGTTTATTTTGTATGGCTTGTTGTGAATGGAGTGTTAAAAATGTTCCAAAAAAGTTACCTTTGAGAAAAATGTATGAAGATTGTTGTATCTCACCCTAGAGCCATTAAGCCCTTGTATAAGAGATTACTAACATGTTGTTACATGTTGAGCCTTGTGTGCTAATATTTATTTTTTAATTGAGATCAATAACCTTCTACCTCATCCTCATTAAATGTGTCATGCTAATCTTGGTACATCAGTTGAGTCGAGTATAAAATTTTGTGCAGCCGCAAACACAGCCACACGCTCCAGGCATTCTAAAATTTTTAATAGGGAGATGACTTTGGGATCAACTGGAGAAGACTTTGGGATCTGAAAGCATCTCTGCAGCGTGTTGCTCTCTTCCAATATTTATTTGTGAGTCTCTGGATCATGGCCATTAATAAGCTTATATGGCACCGAAGGCAGTTCATGAACATGGCTACCAGGCTTCGGGAAGGACAGGGAAATGGGGGAAGGTCGTCCATTCTTAGCTCCATGAAAGCCTGGATATTTTGGTCACAAAAGCTGCATACCTGAGTTTTTCAGCATAGTCATTATCGTGTGAGGAGCTCATCCTGAGCCTGTGGAGATCGGCCGAGATTATGGCGGCGATTGGGTTTTGGAGGTTTTGGCTACCTGAGCTCTATTGGGGCTGGTACTGGGGTCCTCCAGGTGCCCCGGAAATGATGTTCAGCCTGGTGCAGCATCTGGAGACATTTCTGCCTGTTGACCTACTTTTAATTAATTTTATTTTAATTTATTTTAATAAGATATCATGAGTTATAGTAGTATTAATATTAAAAATGTTCCAGGTGTATGATGTCATTGTATCATGTATCTACCATCAGAATCCCAGGACTCCTCATCCACTGTTCCTTATGGTTCACCCCTCCCCCATTTCTGTTGCAGAATCTTGAAGTTTATTTCAATTGCTCTTTTTTTTGATGGGGGAGGTTCACACCTGGCAATGCATAGGGGTTATTCCTGGCTCTGCACTTAGAAATTACTCCTGGCTCAGGGGACCATATGGTATGCTGGGAATAGAACCCTGGTGCGGCCGAGTGCTAGGCCAACTCCCTACTCACCTTGCTATCACTCCAGCCCCTTTTTTTGGAGGGGGGAAGGTTCAATTACTCTTTCTCTATTCCCTTTCTTTCTTTATGCCTCACATCTGAGTGATGGTCATACTTCACTAGATCCAATAGTACAATAATAAGTGGCACAAGATTTAGAAAGAGGCTTGAACCCAAGATTTTATCAAGCAGTTGCAACACTGAGACCACGTCATGGTGCCTTAATAGAGCAGTCTAGCATTGGGGAGCACTTCTGTAGCATCTGGGGCTCTAGGAGCACTGAGTCAACCTTCCGTTTTATGGTAGTGGGTATATTATCGTCTGCAAGCTTCCCTAGAGGTTCTGATTGGCTTATTGAAAAGAGTATCTGGAAAAAGAATAAAAAGACTGAGAAGGTTATTTCCTGAAACTCACCCTCTTCTCTGAAAGTGTCTCTAAGGGGAGGCAACCTCACCCACCCTCATGAATTCCTTCATATTCTTTCTGGGCTCCCCAAAGTCTTTCCCCCCACCGCTGCCCTTCTGTTGTTGGCATTGTCGTCCTTGTGATGTCAGGGCCAGCAGGGACACTGGGATCACAGTGGCTTATGTGGGGCAGGCTGGGGATCCAGTTTGTACCCTCATGCTTGCAGGGAGGGCACTCGGCTCCTGAACCACATCCCTCATCTCATCTCATCCTGCAACACCTCTCAGCATAAGCTGAGGCATGTGCAGATAGAGATCTGCAGTGAAGATGGTGACACTCTCAGGAGGAAGAAGTTTAGAAGACGCTGTGTGGCAGTGCTCACCTTGATAACTCTTCTCACTCTTGATCTATGGCTTAATGGATCTTGCCAAACCTTATCTGGAGTTCTGCACAGGAAAACAGCTGCCATAGTTCACAGCATCAATTCTGAAAATATATCTCAGACATTCCCACAGCTAGAAGGTCCTGTGTGCTCTGGAGTGCATAGACGAGCTTCTCCAACCTAATTGCCACTGGAAAGAAGACCCTTCCCTGCAATTCTTCCCTCCTCCTCTTCCCTTCTATTAGCATATAGGAAGAAATACCCCGCAAAGTCCTGGCCACCAAATGTTCTCACAAAAGTCCACCTGACTCTTACTCGTGAGCAACATCTAGAGGAAATCACAGAAACCTTGACAAAGGGTGATCTCAGAGTCTACTCCCGTTCCTTTGGCATCTCATGGGCAGGGGACTAACCTTTGTCTTAATGTTATAAGGAAAGTCTGATGAGCACTGCTGTCATTGGTGTAAAGAAACCAA